ATTTCGATATCCTGTTCAATTACCATCCAAATCCACAATGTCGAAGTCGAATGGCGTCAGCCTGGCATTCCCCGCCGAAGCAGCGACAAAGGAATATGCAGCATCTCTAGACTCTTCTGATAGCCTTGCTGCGTTCCGGGAGAAGTTCATCGTCCCATCGAAAGCAAACATTGCTTCCAAAAAGCTAGCAAAGCCTGGTTAGTACCATCCTGACAGCTGTAGATCTCGTCACTGATTGTCACAGGCCTTTCGCCCGAGTCATGCATTTACTTCTGCGGTAACTCACTTGGCATTCAACCCAAGGCCACAGCAAAGTACTTAGAAGCACAGTTGGACACTTGGTCATCTATCGGAGTTGGCGGCCACTTCACTGATCTTGAGGGCTCACCCTTGAAGCAATGGCAGCTGCTCTCAGAGCAAGCAGCTGAATCAATGAGCAAGATTGTGGGAGCAAAGCCAGAAGAAGTCGCAGCGATGGGAACACTTACAACGAACCTTCATCTTCTGCTGGCTAGTTTCTACAAGCCGACGCAAACCAAGCACAAGATCTTGATGGACTGGAAGGCTTTCCCAAGTGATCACGTATGTTCGAAAGAGGCTGCCTTCTGCTATCACGGCACTGACTTCAATATAGTATGCTATCGAATCTCATATTGCCTGGCACGACCTAGATCCTAAGGAGTCTATGGTGCTCATCGGCCCAGACGAAGGCGAGTACGAGATTTCCACCCAGAAGATTTTCTCTTATATCGACAAGCATGCCGATGAGGCTGCTATGATTCTCCTTCCTGGTATCCAATATTATACTGGACAACTGTTCGACATTCAGAAAATTACTAAATATGCTCATTCACGAAACATGGTGGTTGGCTGGGATCTGGCCCATGCCTTTGCTAATGTTGAGCTAAACCTGCATGATTGGAACGTTGATTTTGCAGCATGGTGCACGTATAAGTACGGAAATGCCGGTCCTGGGGCAATGGGAGGCCTTTTCGTGCATGAACAACACGGAGAAGTCGATTACAGCGCGGGAGAGGATGCACCCAAGTTCCGTCACCGTCTAACCGGATGGTATGGTGGTGATCGATCGGTCAGATTCAAGATGGATAACAGTATGTGTGCACTTTGCTATAGACAACTCCGTGGGCTAGTAAGCTGATTCGATTGATATCCAGAGTTCAAGCCCATTCCTGGCGCTGGAGGGTTTCAGATATCGAATCCTTCGGCTATCGACCTTGCGTGTCTTTGTGCCGCCCTATCGGTGTTTGATGAAACATCAATGGCAGATCTTCGCAAGAAATCAAAGATGCTAACAGCATACCTTGAGTTCCTTTTGCTTAAGGATACTGAAGAGGAATCCAGGCCGTTCAGCATTATCACGCCCACAGACCCCGATGCGAGAGGCGCACAACTGAGTCTGCTCCTCAAGCCTGGCCTGTTGCAGAATGTTGCGCAGAAGTTGCAGGAAGCAGGAATAGTCTGCGATAAGCGGGAGCCGGGTGTCGTGCGTGTTGCTCCGGTTCCTTTGTACAACAGCTTCAGCGAGGTTTGGACATTTGTGAATATCTTCAAGGGTGCACTACAACAGTGACGGGGGTTCACTAGATCGCTTGTGCAGGACTGAGTTCGATTTTGATAGTGCGCTCATTGATGGATAGTTTTAGAGATAGATACCAACATATTTTATTCTTAGTGTGAGAGCTTGGGGATCCCTCTGAGGAATGGTCCACAGTCACTGTGCAGAAGCAAATAATATATGTAGGGACTTTATGAGAGACTCATACTGTCGAAGTCATAAGTTTCCGAATCCGTTTCTCGGATCACCACTTCGCAGAAAGTCCTGGGCTTGCGAAAAGAAGTTCGTGGCTAATATTGAGTATTCATCGTAAGTAGGCGAGCCGACACCCATAGGATACTGTGCATCGGCCGTGATGATGGGGGTCTGAATGTTGAATTGAGATGTTGGCGACTGTGGTAGAGATTGTTGTGTATGCAAACGAAAAGGCTCCGGTAAAGGGGACGTCTGCGACACTTCGGCTCCAGGTGTGGGAGCTTCAGAATAGAGTGAGTCCCCAAACATGCGACGGGCTGACTCTGCATCACTATTGGAAGAATACTCGAGGATCTCCCAGAAGCGCGAGAGATCTATGAGTAAGTACTTATTCTGAGCGCCAGACTCAAGTTCATAGGATGCTGACACAGCATCTTCCAAGCTCTGCAATCTGTCCGCCTGTCTGAAAGTCAGCAGATAAAAGTGAGTATGGAAAGATATTCCCTTACCAAACGTGCCATATGTGGCCACTTGCGTCCTAGAGTCTGCACGAAACTAACACATTTGTAAAACCTGTTGCGTTTCTCTTCGCGAATGCTAGTGTTTTCCGTGAAGCTAAGCTGCAATTCAATGGTTGCTACCACAGCAGCACTATAGCCCAAGAAAGGATCCGAGACAACGAAAGATCTTTCTTCGAAGTAGTCGATAAAATGAATTATCCATGTCGTGTGCGACGAAATCAAGTCCGAGCTGTGCTGCAAGAAAATCTCGGGAATCGTACTCCGGAAATTTCTGAGGCTGAGAGAGAGCAATAGCGGGTGATTTAGTAGACACAGAATCGTATGATATAGGAACTGATTCAGTAACCATGGTCCCCAGTAATCCCTCCTTTCTTGTAGATCCTCAAGTGTTCTTTCACTCAAGTTCGCTGGCTTGAACCTGTGACTGTATGGCATCTGCGTTTCCCGCTCCATAAGAGCAGTCAATATTCTCGAATACTCTGATTGTGAAGACCACGGGGGTACGTTGCTAGGCTTCCCATGGCGTCTGACATATTTTGCTGTTTTCGCAAATATTTCGCTGAGCATGATCACGTATGCTAAAATACCCTGATCCTGCATGCCTGATGACCGTGTTTCATTCGCCCCATTGCTTGATGAAATCGTTGGAGGCGGCCGGCTAGGACTTTCTGGGAACTGGGGAAAGCAGCCATCGGGAAAATCTAGATTGTCGAAATCAACTCCGTGAAGACGCTTCAAGAGACAAATACTCCAGAAGCAGCGCCTGCGCTCTTCACGTGCAGCTGGGGATTGTACTAAGCCAGACTCTAGGCCAAGGTTGGCACATTGTGCCAGGTTCATTGCCAAACTGCAATGGATGCTCGAACGGTGTGTGTTTCCATCTAAGAGTGATCAGGTCAGCAAGGCTATCATTCTGACGTGTCAGTGGTCGTATTACTGGCAAAATCCACCAAACTCAAGAGGCAAAGGCTCTGAAGAGTTGAGAGCTCTATTGGCCCTTCCGATACCCTCCTCATAACCAAGCCCCTGGCTACTTCCGTATAGCCATTAACAAGTGACGTGAACCCGCCAGTCTGCGAACTCTCGTCCTGAGAGAACCGAATGCTCAGCGCCAACATCGCATATACTATCTCTGGGTCACGGCTCCTCAGGCTATCGAGGAAGCCTTCCTTCTGAAAGAGTGGAAGGGGCTGCGAGTGGCAATATATCAGATAAAGCTCTGCCATTGCGAGCACCTTTTCCCAAGTGGGAAAGGGGATATTTGGGCTCAGAAGGGATGCTACAGCATTGCTCATTACAGCAGTGCGAGGAGCAGCTTCCCGTGGCTCTTGTCTGGGGCTGTTCTGCCTAGATTGAACAAGTTAGAACACGGATGACATCGCATGAGGGAAGCTATGTATTACCCCAGGGCATCGAGAACTTGCCCCATTCTAGCCTCAAGGCTTCCCAGTCGTTCCTCCTGTAGGAATTTATCAGAATTCAGCAATGACCCTGTCATATATATTGGCTTACCAAGATTTCCGAGATCCTGTTCTCTGAGGCGGGAGGCACAGAAGCCCCCTCCCGTGGGATGGCAAGCCCAGCTGTCGAAGATCTCCTATGTTCTCCAGCATAGGCGCATTGCTGATTTAACCGGGCGCACAAGGAGCAAACTGGCTGCTCCCCAGGACATTTTGCCTTCTTGCGTCTGCGAAGAGTCAGTGAGGAGTGCGTCATATAGCGCAAGATCGGACTAACGTTCCGTCTCACCTGCATGGTTCACAAGCTTGCCGCACTCGCTTAGCCGGCCGCTCAGCAGATGTGGACGCCATGTCACACCCTTATATTCGCGTAAATGTGCAATGTATATAAATCATGGGATACTGAGGCTTTTTTGTCAGTTACACCTGCTAGTGGAAGCCTTGTGCTGCCGTACGCAGGAGCGCTTATACGCTCCTAAGAGGTACAATATCCCCACTTCTTAAGTATTCTCATTGACAGGTGGCAGTTACCATAGACTAATATCTTCATCGTAAGGCCATCTAAGCCTTGACATCCAGATCGCAGAGTAGGCGATATGTACTATGGCTTGAACATTTTGGAGACTGTGATGTTTGAATTATCAGCCAAATGTTGGATGGCCTTCCGCTGATTGTCAACTATTTGAACGTATCTTGTTTCCCAATTTGGATAAAGCGCCATGAAAGGTATGGATGACTAATCTACAGACAACCATCACCTCATTCAGGTAACTAGTAGTACATACTTTAGGTCTGGGCGATGGTAGCCCATTCGACAATCTTGCCAGGGGAAGCGGCCACTGCAGCCAAATAATATACAATGGTTATGGTGCTGAAGCAGGGTATACTAGCTGAGCCGAGGAAGTCCAGCAGCGTCGCATCGTGCCATTGTAGTGATTTTACAAGCGTTTACTAAGCCTGGCAACCTTAAATGTTGTGACATGTACCTTTAGACACAGCCGAGTGTACAGTTGCAGGCTCCCTCAATCTTGCCTCTCCTCGGATCATTGGTTAATGTTTCTCTATCCACCCGAAACAAGCGGACGATGGCTGGGACACAGGGTACTCGGGTATATACGAGAGAAAACGAGGCAGATATTAACGCTTTGACGCTTTGGAGAAAGTTATATACAACGTCAGTTATCTTTCTTTCTAGCTGCCTATCAGAGAAATAGAGGTACACTGTGTCAAAGTTGGCGAGGACCGCATTTACGCCTTGCCGAGCCAGGTCTTGTGGCCCTATGATGGGCATTAGCAAATCTATCAATCACGGACCCCCATTGAAACACGGTATTTCGAGGTGCAACTTACAAAGACCATACGACCCATAGCGTAGGTGGTAGCTAAGAAAGATATACATTAGCCGTGATCCATTGTCATGGTGTATTTGAAGAGCCTACCGATGCCCATGCCGTAGACGGAGATGAGGTAGGGCCACATGAGGTAACCACTGCGCTCAGTCTGTAGAGATCCCGTATGTTAGGTTTCTTCATTTCTTTTGCGAGCTGGGATTTATTCGCGGGTCAACGGACCTTCCACCACTGGCGCTTGCCGTCGTGCTGCTGGAAAAGGCGCTGGTAGTAAGGGACACGGTTCTCACGGAACACGAACCTATGAAGAGCAAGATATGTTAGCAAGTTGTTTCCAGTATGGAGTCTCGCTTCCGAGTCCCAATTGCAAGGAATCTTCAGGCAATTGAGCAGCAGAAAGCCCCGACCGACAAGCCGTCAGCCCGGCCGCGCTCAGGAAGCCATGCGGGGGGTACAATTGACGAAATGAAATCAGCGAACATACCCAGCCAGACGAGGAGCGGTGCGGAACATTTTGGCGGTGCGCAAAAGCGACAATGGGGGTTATGGAGGTAGTAGGAGGGACAATGGCAGATGAGAGGCTAGCAGCAACAATGATCAGTCGATGTCGTGAAGTGTGGACCCGAACGGTCCTTGAATATCACGTGACTACCCTCCCACTTCCGCCTTTAGGATGCGAGGCTTAATAATTATCACGTGAATACGCAAGCTCCTAACCGTAGCGAGTATAGCGTGTTCTGGTGGAAGCCCGGCCTGTCCAGAAAAGTAGTAGTCCGCGGAATCAAAGGTGTGCAGAGCAGAAGAAAGCCGCGAATTACCTGTGTTCATATGTGCCACTAACACACATCGTGATAGAGTGCGATTTATGAGGATGGTCAGATTTACTGCCGCCTTCCTTTCGCTCTTCCTTCCTCAAACCTCATGCGCCCGGCTCTTCTTCGACTACTGAAGAGGCCGTCAGCTCTCTCGGTTCTCGACTCCCTGATATCGATGCCAATTGGGGTTGAACAATTGGACGTTCGGCGCACTGCTAAATGTGTTCGATGCCTATCCAAGACTCACAAGCAAGCAAGAAGCGCGCCAGCTGCAGAGTTGCAACAAACGCCTGCGAACGATTCCTCTTTGCCATCAACGAAACGAGCACTCAGCTTCCGCATATACGAAATTAATACGCCACACAAGCAGGCCACAGGTAATGGTGGAGGCTCTGGCGACTCGGCTCAAAATACTTTTGCCATAAACTCTCGCAGCTTCGCGTTACAACCGGAGAGATTGGAATTCGAATCGGACATAGGACATACGGATGACATTGGAACCCGATTAGTAGACAACCCGGTGCATCGGAACGATCTTGCTCTCTGGGAGGAGCTACTGCGATACCGGCAGCGACATTACGGTGATAAAGGCACGTTGGATATATGGGAGGGCTTGACGAGCCGAGTTGACGGTGTGCAACTGCCCGTTGAAGGAGAAGTCGCCGATTTCTTTTGGCAAAGCTTCGTGGAAGCTGGCATACGGCACGGTGTCATTCTAAATGAAATCGCTAATTATGCGCTGGCGCTTTGGAATACAACGGGCAAACGTTGGGAGGGTTTTTATGAGGCTGTCGTTGGTGGCTTTATTGACCGTGGCATGACACAGCAGGCTGTTGAATGGCACAAACGCCTTCATCATCCTCATTTGACACACCCGAACGATATCCTGCATGTCTTCCGGCCGATCGCTCGTTCTCGACAGCAAAACAGAGTCACTGAAGCGATAAAGCCAGGGGGGCGGGCTGCCTCATCAAGCTTATGGGCCTTCCGCAGCATCTGCCGCATGACACCAGGCCACCAGATCTATGCTCCCATCATGTCTACTCTGTTACGCTGTGGCCGTCTTGGCGATGCGCTTTCAATGCACAGACTCCTCATCCAAGAGAATGACCATCCGCATTCGTTCGACGAATTCGAGCCATTACTAGAGAGCGCCAAACAGTACGGGCCATGGGCATCCTACCAAGAGCTCCATACCTATGCCTCCCAACGATTCCCTGAAAAGATAAACGAAACCGATGATCCTGACAAAATCGCTGCGGAGACTCAAGGAAAGCTTGCGCATGAAGAGAGACCCATAAAGGACGAGTTCGGTGCCCGAATCTTTGCAACTGAGGCTCTTAACTTCGATACAATCCTTTCTGGCTTGAAAATGTTCGGCGTGCCAGCTCTTGGACCGCAATCTCTGCGGGAGATGGCGCTCAGGTCTCGGGGAAGTCAAGATATACTAAGCAAGCTCCGGAAGCTTGAACGAGCAGGCATTTCGCTGGGGAACTCTGTCTTTGTGCGTCTTCTTCGCAAGCTTGCCACGGAGAATCGCGACATACTCTTATCGGACTTGCTCAACAGCGACGAGCATCCCGATGTCCTTGAGGATGCGCGCATACAGGAGACTCTACTTCTATCTTACTATATGAGTCAGGATTGGCGTCATTATCATATGACCCTTGCAATCTTAAGTGAAATTTCCGACGAAGGGCCGGCTCTGTTCAACATACATTTTAGGAAACATCTTGCAGCTGGCGAGTGGACTCTGGCCTCCAAGCTGGTTGATGAAATGGCACTGCGCAGTGAAAGCCTCACCAAAGAGAGCATTGACTTCATGGTTGAAAAGGTCCTGACCCCTCGCAGGCCCGGTGTCAGCCCGATCAAGGGTCAGCGCCGTTCCGAAGTCGTGGAAGTAACTTTCCTCTTCCGAGTCTTACGACGCATCGTTCCTGTGGGTGCTTCTGTGTCTCCTGACCTTTGGGTCGAGATGATCAAGCGATTCGGCATGATGAATTGTTGGGATGAGCTTCGAACATGTTGTCTCTGGCTGGCCCGTCATTATTCTTCTAAACCCAAACAAATCCACGCTCCTCTCCAGATCATCTCGCTATCGACTGTACAGCAATCATCTCATACTATCTCACCTGACCAGCACGGCAATACCATTCTCGGGGCCATCTTCAGCAAACAGACGCAAGCCGCTCTCGTCTACTGGGGGTTCCGGATGCGAGTTTCCTCCAAACGAGACGACTATAATCCTTTCCACATGGAGGGTGGGAACTTTGTTCCTTGGGTGCGCGGGCTTGTCCTCCTTCGGGAGCTTGGACAGAACGGTGTGCAGCTTTGGACGAGATGGATCAGACGAGCTTGCCGGCACCGACTTGCTGTTCTATACGGACGACCTCGCCGCTCCAGTCGTCACATGAGTCGCATGTTGCGACGGGAAAACCCATATAGTGTGGAGCGAGTCCTGGGAGATATTGACCGTGCGTGGGGACAGCCCCTCCTGCTCCAGGGTTGTGCACCCAGGGATGTGTATCGGCTGGTGAACCCACCCAGCTCGAAGATGTCTCAACGTCGAACACGTCGAACCTTCTTGCGGGAGAAGAGCCTACGAGGGGCAGCCTTTGTGAGTAGCCGGTGAATGTATTATATATGTACAATATATTATATAGCATCACATACGATAAATAAAATGAAATGTAATACTAGCCCAGCCCAAGACAAGACACACCGCTCACGTGAAGAAACCCGGGGCAACGCGGCCACACAACAAACGAGACAAACACGGGCGGGCTTCGCCACGGGCAATGGCGTGGCCCCGTCAGCGAAGTCAGCGAAAATGCGAAACAGGAGCAGCCATGACCGACCCTTGTTCCTAAGAATAGGTTGGCAGGCAACGCGGCCAGACTCCATCTCCCAGAGCCTTGTTCATACTGGCCCACCGTTACTGGCAGATCAACACTGCCCTCGAAACTTTCTCATGACCCGTAAGGGTGATCCCAAGCCAAATGGCGCGGTTGTTGCCGTGGTTCAGGCTTTGGGAGACCATGTAGTGCGTCTTGGTAGTCCACACTCTCTGCACAATTCACCCAGTGCTTTCACCAGTGGGGTTTATTGATTATTGCTCTGCCTGCTTGCCTGCATCATCCGCATCCTTTTACACATCCTTCATGGCCCGAATGTTGGATTCTTACTGTGTCTGATTCTTCTTCCTTTCTCTCCTCCCCCTCCTTTTCCTCACTGAAACAATAATTGTCACTCATCAGGCGCATCAATTAAATAAACCCTTGAATCGAGTAGACTGATAATTTCCCCTTTTTCTTGATATACGCGCATTTTGTTGTATCATTTGTTGCCTGGACTTCGCAGCCGATTTCTTCTTGCATGAGTCCTCCCGGCTTATATAGCATCTGAACGATCGATACCCTTTTCCAACCAAACAGAACGCGCAATCAGTATGCTAGGACTAGGAGTTCTAGCGCTCCTGCCCTTCGCAGCGGCGAAGGCTGTACGGCCGCGATCCACTGCATGCAACAACTCCCCAGACTTGTGTTCCAAGTCATACGGAGAAATCACTCACCTGGGCGCACACGACAGTCCGTTTCTACGAGATGCCTCGACGGATTACTCTACCTTTGGAGACCAGTAAGTTCAATTGGGAAGGCAGAACGTCAATGCAGTTTGTTGACCAGTCCACAGGTACTACAACACTACACTCCAGCTTGACGCTGGTGTCCGTCTTGTCACAGCTCAAGTTCATAAGTCGAATTCACAGTGGCGTCTATGCCACTCTAGTTGCGATTATCTAGATGCAGGATTGTTGAGCACATGGCTGTCAGATATCAAAGGCTGGTTGGACTCCAACCCCAATGATGGTACGTTGGTGGCGGACTGCAATTACTCCCAAAGGAGCTAAGAACTGACATCTTCCGTCAATCACCAGTTGTGACTGTTTTGCTGGTCAACTCAGATGACGCAACAGCTTCTGATCTTCACTCGCAATTCGAAACGGCCAATCTTACCAACTACACCTACACTCCGACCTCCCAAACCTCCGCACCGAGCTCGTGGCCAACATTGCAGGAACTGATCAATAATGGTACCCGGTTGATGACCTTCGTGGCATCTTTGGACGCTTCCAGCAACACGGTGGCACCGTATCTGATGGATGAGTTCACTTTCATCTGGGAAAACAACTACGATGTGACCTCCGCTTCCAACTTCTCCTGTGAGCCCGATCGTCCCTCGAGCGTCAAGAACGAGCTTTCCACCGCCTTGTCTTCCAACCGCCTCCCATTCATGAACCACTTCCTTTACCAAGAGACATTGGACATTGAGTATCCCAACGTCAGCTACATTTCGACCACCAATGCGGCGTCTGGAGGAACGGGAAACCTTGGCGACACAGCAACCAAATGCAAGAAGGAGTACAATGGCCGTCAGCCTACCTTTATCTTGGTTGACTTCTTCGACAAAGGACCCGCCATCGATACCGTGGACAGTTTGAACAATGTTACCAACGCTACTGGACGGAAGAACCTGACTTCCGTCAGCGTTACCAGCTCGGCGTCCACCTACTCTAACGTTTTCAAGGGTCTGGTTGAAGTCGTCCAGAAAGCCAAGGACGGAGCGAATCCCAGCATGGGAGAGTGGATCTGGGCTGGTGGAGATTGGGGAAGTCTGCTGGGCGGCGGTATTGCAGTTTAAGCTGACCGCTGTGACCTCATACTTCTTTGGAATCTTCACCGTCCTTTCATCCTTCATTTTGATTACTAGCCTATTTAGTACATTTTCATTTTGCATCTATTCCACATATTTACAGTTGCAACATCAGCGCTGGATTTCAAAGTTTTGGACGAGCCTCACGACATTCCTTTGCTATAAATAGGGGGGGGGTATAAGGTTGGCGTTCGGATGATTATCATATTTTGCACAGTGTACCTAACTGATATGACCGTTTCACCATGTCCATAAGCAGCGATAGCATGTAAAAGAAAGGTGCAACTACCGGAGCATATCCACTCAATCGAGTATCACGCACACATCCCCTTGTAATCTCTTACTCAGTCGTTTTTCAACAACTCACGGACCTTGTTCACTTTATCCTCAAAGGACTGCTCCTTATCGGTCCTGTAAGCAAGAAGAGGTAATAATGTTAGCCTGTGTAACCACACCCCACCCGAGCCTCTAGATAAACAACAGTCCCCAGAAAAGAAGCAAACAAACAAGAAAAATCAAAAGAAAAGAATGAATGAATACACACCTCGACCCAACCCGAATATCCGTCTGAATCCTCACGATACCCTGCTGATGAAGAATCGTATGCGCCTGACCAATAACCTGATGAACTCTATCCCAAGGACCCTCTATGATAGTAGGTAGTAGAACCCGTCAGTCAGCAAGCAGCCAATAAAGCATACCCATGCGCACGCATCAATATAACTAAGTACTACTAGTACAAAAGTATAGTACCATCGGAGGGTAAATTTCCCAATAGCGATGGTATACATACCGAGAGTGGTGCCAGCTGAATGCATGACGTATTTCAGGCCGGATTTCTCAATAAGGCGCTGAACGTCGGCTATTTGGGCGGACACGGAAGGGGATGAGGTGCCGATCTATTACTTATCGTTAGTATAGTGTAGTGTAGGTTTTTAGCGAAGTTTACTAAAGTTGGAGAATGCATATGGGGTTGGTTCGTGGGTATGCATGTGGGATGATTGATTGATTGATTGATGCTGGACGGGCATGATGGGAATGATTGATTGAATGAATGAATGTGTCACGTCACTTTCATCCCTCAACCGGGTATTGATTGCATGGGTAAGATGCGGGAATAGTCAAGCAGCATGATGCAAATAACTAGATAGTTGCAAGGAATGGAATAACCCACTGGGATCAAACAGAAATCGGCGGTGCAGTGCGGGGGAGTCGGGATGGATGAGGATGTCTCGGCCATATTTGTTGTGCAGAACCAAATTTGGAGTTAGATAGTAAGTAGTAAAATGAATATTCAATCCAAATAGAATTGGGGGATCTGATTGCGTGAGGAATGATTTCTACTGGAGGATGGGAATGGATTGACAAGTGGAAGCAGCCAGCCACTTTTTTGGCGGGCAGTGAGGAGAGGAGTTCATCAGCAAAGCGCGGGGCCTTAACGGCGGACGGAGGGGCAATCGTGACTTGCAATCAGTTCGCATTGACATTACACCACTCTATCAGGAGATGCGCATTGGCTAAGTACAACTACTAGCTTATAATCATCGGAATTGTTCGTTACTCGCTTCTCTATGGTGGAATATAATCCCACCCGCTCTCTGAGGAAATGTTGGCAGGCAACTCCACCGGCGAAGATCTGTACGTTTCCGCGGACAACACATCACCAGAACCAAGATGGAAGATGTATCTTCGAGCACAATGCGTTGCTGTGGATGACGATCGGTTTGTGAGGTCTCATATCTGAAGCCAACTTTACCCTGGCGAAACCCGACCGGAAGGAATTAGTGCTCCTTCGATGCAGGTTTGCTTTTTTTTTTCTCTTCCTTCTTCCCCGGATTCCAGCGCCTCCAGCAGCATCATGACCGGTTTGTACTAAATTTGGGCCGACGGCCGAGGATGTCCCTAAGACTCACTATCAACTAGACTAGACTACTGCTGTGGGTGTGGGAAGATGGATCTGGATCTAACGATCCTGGGGCAGATGCTAGTTTTACTAGCGAATCGTTTGTCCGATTTTCCCTTTGGTGACCCTCTTTTTATTCCTTGCTCTTATTTCTGGTTTCTCAAAGAACAAGTCAATAATAGTTGTCCCACCCAGTTCCTATGAGGGGGAAACACAACTGACAAGAGGACCTATGGCCAACAATGGCCTGCAGGGAAGACAAAAGGAGTGCTCGAGGCTCTGGCAGGATAAGACGGGAAGGAAGAACGCCTTCACATCGTCAAATCGCACTGGGCCCTTGCTTGGGTCGTCTGTCATCTGCAATTGTTTCGGTCCGCCCCTCTGGTACCAAATTCGCATTCACCAACCTAGATTTGTCGACTTCTCTTGCCTCGTGGCTAATCTCCTATCCTCACTGGCTTCGCTCACCCTCCTTGATCAATTTCATTTTCAGCTGAGATCACTTTCTTCTCTTTCAGTTGGCCGACTCTCCTTCTGAACAGCCCATCCGACCGGGTGTGACGCAGCCCTGCTGGTCCGACCGTTTTGTCTTCCAGTGCGCTTCGTTAGTTTGTCCCGATAGTTCACTAGCGACTACGGCAGTATCGCTCGCATGATTTAGCATATTCCGTGACGTTCAGTCAACTCTATCTACCTTGTACTCCTCACCCTCGACCTCCAACCAGCGTCTGCTCAGCTGTCCACGTTTCTGACCGCCTCTTCTCGTCGCGGTGCAGCATCCAGGACCCGGGCTCTGTCGACGTTTGCGTGCCCGACGCCTTGCGTTTAAGCGCTCACCCTGATTTCGCTTCGGACGGTAACCACTACTCGTTACTTTTCTCATTTACGAAGTCTTTCTTATCTTGTCACAGTATTGGCTAGCTGCTCGTGTCGCTTGAAGCGTCAGATGCGCGGCGTGGTAACAATACTGAGACCTTTCGAGATAAATCTGCGCGCCGTGATATGATTGGCATGGGATCCGCCTAAGGCTCGCACGGCCAAGCGCCACGGGGCTGCGACGACCTAATCCCTGCACAAGGCTCGTCCTTCCCAGATCTAGCGACTGTTGCCACTAGACGCAATCGGGTTGGGGGATTTCCCTCCAGAATCCCTGAGCTCATCACTTGCCGTGCGGGTGATTGAGTAGGCCTTAATTACTGAGATCGATCACCTGAGAATAGTGGGCACAGTCCGTTCGATTTCATCGATCAGCTTATCCTCCCATCCGTTGAGAGCCAATTGGCCGATTGTAACGAGGCTCCGTACTTGCAAGAAGCGTGAATACTTGCCTGAAAGAGAGACAGCTGAAGAGACAAGATTCGCCCGACTGTTGAACTAGTATTTTAGATCAGCTACTCCCCTCTCTCCACGTTCAGGCTCGCGCTGCGCTGGACGCTTATCCATCCCCCTGGAAGGCCCAGTGTCCGTTTTAAGTGATTTGCATCTGCGTACATGAAGAGGCTGCATGTTCCCTTTTCCACTGCACACTGAATTCTTGCCTGCTGCGCCTCGGACTTTTTCCTTGCGGGACTAATCCAAGCCCACGTGACTCTATACATCACGTTGCGCGCATACCACGGAGCTAGAACGTTTGCTGTTACTATATTAACCAGGGCTGTAGCATTCTTGCGGACATCTGCTTGTGGCATTTGTCATGGTTTTTTCCTCAGTCGACTACCATCGTCATTGTTCGTCTTCCACTTACCTGACCAATGACAAAGCCCAATCTACTAGAGCTCCCAGTAGGAGCTCGGCTCGTTTACCTCGCGGAAGGCGGCGCCAATGTCATCTATCGGATCCTCGCTCCACCAGAGATGGACTTTGATGGAAGAAATGACCTCTCTGCGACTGTTTCCAACTCACTACCTAACACAATAGGTACATTCCAAGTGCCTGCCAAGTTTAACGGTAAACTGCTTCGACTCCGCAAGGATACGAGCGCAGGCATCTCTTATCAGGAGATTGCACGCAATTTTGACAGATGCATTCGACCTCTTTTCAAACCAGAAGAGCTAGTTGACCAGGAGCTCGTTTATCTCCCCAGAGGGCTTGTTCAAGGGTGCAATGAACAGCTACAGGCAGCAGAGCGAAGCGGCCAGCGTCCAAAACGACGCCAAGGGGTGTACCTCTCTACGGTGGAGCCGTTTGGGCTACTTATAACAGACATGACTACATTCAGCATTCCCGGAACGACGCTCTCAGAGTTGAAACCTAAGTGGCTAATTCAATCCCCCTCTGCACCCCCGAACTCCCGGAGATGCCGAACCTGCGCACTCCGCGACATGAAGAACCAAAAGGCACGCAAGAAGGGATTGGCGGAAGAACAATCATTCTGCCCCCTCGACCTGGTATCTGACAGGTTCGACAATGTCCTCCGTGCGGCCCAATTTGTCAAGGGATGCAAAGACCAGCCACGGCTGGCAAAAGTACTTTATCGAAATGGAACGCTGCAGAGGCTCCTGACACATCAGAAAGCCTTACAGGATGTGGGGCTTTATGGTCCACCGCCAAGTTCGCGCGAAAAGTCGCTTGCGATGACGCTGCGAGACTGTACAATGTTCATAAGGGTAGGTACATCCATAGCTTTCACCGGCGCGCCACGTGTCCGCTAACATCAGCATAGATGCCACGCGACGATTCCGGCCGTGTGGAAATTAGGCTGGGGGATTTGGACCTCAAAACCGGGGCTGGCGGGAAAGCCAAGTACTGGCTGGACCTGGAGCACCAATTGATCGTGGAGGACTGGTACGCAGGGGCCAAGAACAACGTATCGGAAAGCGAGTGTGCTCAGCAGAGTCCACGGGCGCATTCACAGTCCTCGATATAGGGGTCCGTAATAACTTGTCTTGCACTATTTCCTGCGTCTTACAGCTACCATCTGCAATAGTAGCTGCGATGATTAGGGGTTCACAGCACCCTATGGAGGTATGTACCAGGCGACCCATTATGGAATGTCGCACGGTAATGATTGACGGCCTATCTCTTTCTTCATGTCTCGTGCATCGTGCTTTTGATATCATGTTTCTACGACTTTTTAATGTTTGGTTGGCACATTTGCTTCATTATTATGTTGCTTGCATTTTATCGGGGCAGGGAGGGTCAGTGATACGTCTTGCTACAAATTCGATGCGTCTCTTTTACGGTTTCGGTCTTGCTTCTTGCTTGATGTGTACACTAGTTACTTAGGGATTCACCTCTTACTCTATGGCTTTATTGGATAATATATACACTTCCGCAATGCTTGATATCATCTCATAGCAGTGTCTCTCTCATAAGTATAACTTATCATTCTCTCGTTCTATTACCAACACAGTGACTTGACTATCCCACCAAGCTATGACGTCACCCGCTCACCCAAAGCTAGCATCGGGATCTCCGACTGAATACCCCGAACGGAGGCCCAATTTACCGACCGACCTCGAAGCCCAGAGAAGGAGAAGGACAAGACACTACTTAACTCTATGCAATAATCAAAAGTAATAGAACCCCACAATTGACATCAACCTTCTTCCAAAGCGGAGGAAGTCTTTGCCCTTACAAATCAGCCGCAGTCCAAGTTATCGACTATTCAAGTAACTATGTTGGTAGAGTAATCATTAATGTCCATTAATAAGCGTTTTCATCCGTAATTCCGCGCCGCTCTCGCCTCTTTCCTCCGCGCGGATGCTTTTAACGGCTGGGGTGGGCGGAAGATAAAGGTGTTGTTGTTTGTTGTTGATCATGCGGTTACATCTCCTGGGATTGATCGGGATCTGTCTAGCGGGACTTGCATTATTGGTCTTTACCGAGAATATCATTACTAGTAATCTCTTTGCTGCGACGACACATACAAATATCATGGCTGTCCCGAGGGTTCTTGCTCGTCGGGTTTTCCGTTCATCTTCTTCGTTGTTTGGATTACGGGGCAATAATCTTGCTGCTGTTAATACGCCTTCGCCTTTGGTGACTACTGCTGCTGCTTCTGCTACTTCTGCTGTTAGATCGTTTTCGTCGACTGGGTCAGTGAAGATGCCTTCTCATATGCCTAGCTCTGGTGCGCTCGTGGATTTGGCCAAGGGTCGCCATTCCATCTACAAGCTCGGGAAAAATAGCCCCGTGCCGGACGAGAAGATCGAGGAGCTTGTCAATCAAGCTATTTTGAATGTCCCTAGTGCGTTTAATACGCAATCGACCAGGTTGGTTGTTCTGCTGCATAAGGAGCATGAGCGCCTCTGGGATATCACGATGGATTTGTTCCAGGCCCGTGTGAAGGAGGGGACGCTGCCTGAGGAGATGTGGAAGAATCAGACGCAGCCGAAGTTGCAGGGGTTTAAGAATGGATTGGGAACTGTAAGTGGTTTTCCATCAATTGATTGGGTCTGTGTTGGGAGGTTTTGCTAATTGAGTGTTTAGATTCTCTTCTATGAAGACCCCGCGCACATCGAGCCTTTCAAGGAGAAGTTCCCTACCTACAAGGACCAGTTCGAGCCTTGGGCCCACCATACTAATGCTATGCATCAGTACTTCTGTATGTCTTTGACCTTGCTTGATTTTGACTTGGGATCGTAATGCTAACGGATACAGTGTGGATCGGTCTTGAATCTCTTGGTTTCGGTGCCAACTTGCAGCATTATAACCCGCTTATCGATGCTCCTGTGGCCAAGCAGTGGGATATCCCTACTGACTGGCGGCTTATCTCTCAGTTGGTGTTCGGTAGTCCCGAGGTAGAGGGCCAGGAGAAGCCGAAGAAGCCCGTTGAGGAGAGAGTGAAGGTTTATGGCAAGTTGTAATTGTGCTAGCTGGCGGTGGCTTGGTCATTTCGCTTTGTGTCTGTTAGACTAGATGGTTTGTAAGTTAGCGCAACATCAATCCAGGATTTAGGATCAATGCAGTATAAATATTACCAGAAGTCTAGATGTGTTTCAGAATTTATTTTTTCAGGATATGAGGCCATGCTAAGGATTGAAAGAAATGGGAGTCAATATATCAAAATTGAACTGGCTAGTATGTTCTCCTGATGTGTTATACCCGAGTGACTATTACCCTATCGTCTACTGAACAGACCAGCTAACGTCAAAAATGCAGCATGTTCATGTGGAATTTAGTGGAGCTATGTTTGATACTCCTGGCAATGCTAATTATCAGGAGAGTCACCAGAAACCCTAAATTCCGTGTTCTCTATAAACATGTGACTATATATTGTGGACCGCATAACTATGCAGCTGATAGAAAGCATAGAAGAAATCTTTCTGTTGCATGCTTATTTGGGGACCGGGGTAGGATGCCCCACATGTTCAATATAAATACACGATAGAAACCAAGACTAGCACAACAGATTGTTTCAGCTTCCATGTACTCCTAATCCGTCATTCAGATCAAACCTAGGACAATCTGGTTCCCTCAGGTCGGACCGTCAGTAAATCGCCTCGGGGGGCGACAGTATCCAGTATCATACCACTTGCGATGATCTTGGCATATTTCATCGACTTAAAACGCAGATTGTCTGATATTGTTTCTCACCAAGGCTTTGAAGATGGTGGATGTCGTCGGTAACATGGCTAAGCAAGTCAAGTGACAGCATTACACGATATGCACTGTTTCTTTTTGACTTTTGCAGACATCACCCAGAAAGTGGTCTTCTATGGTTGAACTCTAGTAGCATTATGGATCTGGACCACCGTGGACGTTCCGTTTGCAGTGAAAGTGGCAACCGACAAAGTCGAGGCCCGTCCAGACGCAGCAATAACATCTTTGGCTAAAGTATATAAATGGACAAAGCCAGCTTCATTGAATCGATTTAAATTATCTTGTAATATACCCCACAAGCATATCTATTGCTGCAATTGCTAACATGCCTCATTCTACGTCCAAAGAGTTCTCAAACCCCCAGAGTTCAAACGAAGCAAATTCCCGGACGTATGTCAGCTATCCTTGGTATTGGGTAGTGCCAATCGTCATTATCGCAATTATCTGGTACTATATCAGTTTAGCGAAAGACCGAGAGATTCTGATATGCGACGGCACTGAAGTGAAGATCCCATATTGTCTTCAATGTTCCGGTAGTTGCGTATTGGAATGTGGAGGCGACAAAGTGACGATCCCATTATGCGAGGAGCCAGTTGATCCACCCTCACCAGTCGGAGGAGGTGGTCAACGCTTGCTTGGGAGGGATGGCAGGCCTTTCGTCGTTGAAATGCTCGCATCGGATGTTGAAATGGCAGCGACAAAGGGGCGGAAGATGGCATGGGCAGGAACTGCTAGCGTGAACTGGGCGAGTGGCCAGGGAATAGAGGAGACCACTGCCAAGCAATTGGGTATATGCTGGGGTACATTGACTGATGGCAACATGACATATGATTGTGTGGAGATCAAGACATGAGTGTGCTCGAATGACCATGGATCGGTCTAATGAATCAGGATGTGAAAGTAGAAAAAAAGTTGGTGAATGAGGAGTGAAACTGAATATTGAATAAAGAGTGCTGGATCTCACCTGTATCTGTTTGTTTATTTGACATTGGTCTTAGTTTTGCAGGTGTCAATCTATGTACGTGGTTTATATGTCTCTCCGAATGTCTGGCTCCTCCCCAGATTGGCTGCTCTTCAACCTGCTCTTCACAATGTATTCAGCTGCTAACATGATAAACGACCTTCCTATGCAGAGCAAAGAGCTGCACATTTTGTTGCCTTTGTTTTCATTCAACAATCGAGGAAAGAAGATACCACTCCTTCCCATCTCAGATACCCTCTTGAGCCTTCCTCCAGCAACTGCAACATCTATTCCTTCCCAATACTGTACATTCAGCAAGACGATGCACCCAACATGGTATACCTAAAAGCAAACCATCCTCAATTGCCCATATCCTCCCAGCCCTACCTCTCTTCTACACCCTCCATCCCTCCCTATCCATAACGAACCCCATTCATTCATCTATCCTTATCCTATTCATACACCATGCCCAACCTCCTAGCAACAACCCTCACCCTCATCTTCACCATCCTCACCCTCCTCCCTCACAGCAGCTCCAGCCACCCCATCAACGAAACCGCCCATCACTCCTCCGCCGTCCCCTACGGCCTGCTAATCACGCACTGCACCGTCCCCAACACCATCGCCCTAACCTTCGACGACGGGCCCTCAACCTACACACCCCAGCTCCTCGACCTCCTCAGCGAATACGGCGCACGCTCCACCTTCTTCGTAAACGGCTACCGACTTCAGGAGAGTGCTCCTATCTTACAACGCATCTATAACGAAGGGCACCAAATAGCCTCACACACGTAAGTTCTCCCCCATCCCACTATCACCATCCAGCACCACCCCTACCAAACACAGACGATTTATATATACTAAGTACTTCATAGGTTCGGCCACTCCTTCCTCCCCGCCCTCGACAACCCCACCATAATCAACGAAATGAACACCCTCGAGTCCCTCTTCCGGACCTTCATCGGTCGAGTCCCGACTTATATGCGCCCGCCCTTCCTAGCTGTGGACGGACGGATCCTCGCATTGATGACAGACCTCGGATACCATGTTATCGGGGCGAGCGTGGATACCAAGGACTATGAGAATAATACGCCGTGGTTGATTGGGGAGAGTGTGAGGAACTTTGTAGAGGGGGTGCAGGCGGGCGGGACGGTGGTGTTGGCGCATGATACGCATGCTCAGACGGTTTGGACTTTGACGAGGGTTATGTTGGAGGAGAGTAGGAGGAGGGGGTTGGTTGGTAGGTTTTCCCTTCCTGGAATTTTACTTGGGATGTGCTGTGGTGCTGATGGTTGGTGGGTTTAGCTACGACTGTGGCCGATTGCCTGGGGGAGCCGATGGATTTTTGGTATCGTTAGATAGTGTGTTGGCTGGGGACGTGTTGTGGTGTAGTGAGTGTAGAATGTTATATATTTTGCATGCGAGTCACGCTTCGGTATGCATCTCAACCGTTTCGGGTTTGTTGAAGTGTGTAAACCGTGTATTAGATATAATCGTAAATATATATATCCTGTAGTAGTATAACCGACCCTCTGAAAACGCCCCAACCATTTATCTATACCATGATGCAAATAAATATTCCCACAACTCCAAACCCGACACCCCCAATGCAATGCTATACAGCCGAGGACAAATTAAAAGAAATCCTTCTCATCCAACCACTGCGTATCAATGGCATACGCCACCAAATCCGCCGCACAACACATATCCTCATGCCCACTCTCCAAATCCAACAACTCCAAAACAGCCTGCAACCGATCCTCCAGCGTCTTCTTCAACTGAGAGATATATTCCTGCGTCGCAGCCGTCACTCTCGGCCTGTACTCCAGCTGCTGCTGGTGCTGCTGCTTTATCTTCTCCAGCGGAGACTTCGCTACCTGCTTCTTCAGACCTTTATTAGGCGAGCAGGGCGCAAGAGGCTGTCGAGCAGGTGTAGTCGGTGCCGTGGGTACCGGCTCGCTCTTTCTGTTCTTGAGTAGGGACTTGAGTAGGAATACGAGCCAGACGAGGTTGGTTCGTGGGGCGTATTCGGCCCAGATGCCTGGGATGTCCGGGGATTTTTCGGTCTTGAGGGGTCCGCCGTGGTAGACTTCGGCGCGCATGCTGTGGGTTGTTGTTAGTTAGTCCGAATATATCATTTGGGATGTTTGTATTTTGGTGAGAAGGGTACGTACTATCTGTAGGTATTCCGTAGCATGATCTCGTCTTCGTCGCGGCCGATGGCATCGAAGATTTGTTTCTTGTCTAGATCTGAGGAGGCGACTTCGACGAGCTCTGCTTCTTCGCCCATGCGTAACGCGGCGCGGGAGAGGGAGTAGTCGATGATGGTGGTTTCGAGGGTGCTGAGTCCGAAGCCACTTGTGAATGACTGGCTGATGATTTCGTGGTCGGTCGGTGGATCCATGCGGCCTTCGGGGCGTGTGCTTCGTATGCAGACGTTACCGAGGTGGAGATCTCGGTGCTGTGGTTATGTTAGAGATGGTGTTTTGGTCTTCTCGGGGCTGGGTGCGAACCTCAAACAATGCGTATTCCTCCGCCCGTGCAAGAGCCATTGCGACTCCCCAGAAGATGTCGTAGATCTGGAAGATGGATGACCAGGAGAACTTTTCCAGCTCGCAGCCAGCATCGTCCATCTCGATGATTGCCCAGAGTTGTGAGTCGGGGTAGGCCCGTTTACTAGACGGGTTCGGATTCAGACAATCGTCCTTGGTCTTCTTGTAGTAGTCCCACGCCGTTTGGAAGTTCTCGGGGAAGCGACCCTGAACGACGTGGATCTCCCGAAAGCGAGCGAACCCGGGGATGGGATCGAGATACTTGAGCATCTTTACCTCGGAGACAATTTCCTCGATGCTAGTGAACTTCTTCGAACCAGGGCCGCTCTGCGCGCGCAGAGGGACCACCTTGAACACGCCATCACCGTAGGCCTTTAAGCGCGCAAGCTTGGATTTGGACATTTCCTTTTTGCATAGCTCTTCCCGCAGACGTAGTTTGTAGACTTCTCCGTAGGAACCCTCTGCGATCTTCACCACTTCCAACAAGTTCCCTGCCCTGGCGGCCCATGATCCAAACTTTTGTACGCTCTGCGCGGCGACCGGGGATAAGGCTTCGTTAAGAATTGGCCGAACGTAGGCATTTGCCTTCTCGTCTGTGACGCAGCCGGATGATAGTCGCGGTGCTGGCTTGTCCTTTCTTGCAGATCGCCGCCCGCTCTCTGTTGTTCCTTCGGTAGCTTGCTTGCGCCTTCGAGGTCTCTCGACAGACACCGTCGGGCTAATCCTCACTTCGACCATCGTCTCATACTTTGTAATTTCGTTAGTGTTGCGGTTTGGCGACAGCTGTTCGGACGGGGATGGCTCGTCTTGCGGTTCGGATACAGGGGCGGGTGTCGCTTCCGGCATAGGTGTTTCTTGTTCAGTCTCAATAAGTTGGATGTCCTTCTCGTCAACTTCTTCGACCTCGACCTCCTTTTCCTCAGTCTCCTCCGGCTCTGTCTCTTGAGGCACAGGCTCGTCTATCGTAACCTCAGCCAGCTTCTCTCTCAGGCCCTCCACAGCACCCCGAACAGCCTTTTTCGCTTCCTTTTCCAAATCCTTGGCTGGACTTCGCTGCTCAAATACTGCTCTGGGCGCATCCGCTCTTCGTTTTCCGTACACCTTTCTCTGTGCGCTTGTGCGTGTTCTGGTGGCTGGTCTCGAATTCCATTGTCCAGGGGTTGTGTTGTCGGCCGCGACAACAGGTGAGGATGGGGATAGCATGGTGATGTGATAGTGTGAGGGTCGAGTGATCGTGATAGAGTTGGTCCTAGTGGCTCAATGAGCCTAGCGCCCGCGTGTATTCAAGAATGTGCCCAAGATTGAGGAGAGCAGTAGCTGCGGCGGAGATTCGGTGGAAGCCACTGATGCTTACCAGGGCTATTGATGCCTTTCCTAATCCGGGATAGTTGCTTGGTTGCTGGGGTAGATGTTGCTTATGTAAGTGGGTCGTCATTGCCATTTTGGATCATAAGCTTAAGAAGGTCAGTCCGATTCTGATAGTGGTGCTTATAGTTTTCTGTTGACATTTTTTGAGAGTGCTTCACTGTCTCATTGCATTAACCTAATGTTTTCATGTGTTTCTCTACTCCAACTTCAAAAGACGATGCTGATGTCTGGAAAATATAGTTCAGAATTGTAATATTTTATATACCGAGCTTTCAATTGGTAGTACAAAGCCCGAGGGAGATGTAGCTAGGAAGACAAGGCTCTAGCATGAAAATTCCCGACCAGAGGGACAACAATGAACTTGACTTGTGATTATTATTGAAGGGTTCTGAGTGGTGATGGTAAGGTTCCGAGCTGGAATGGCCGGGATGAAAGGAAAGGCCTCGGCAAGCTCGTGTATCGGAGGCTTTCCGTGGATTGACCTGCCAGAGACTTTTGGGCAAGTCACCTGCCAGATTAGGAATATCTAGCGCAATGTTTGGGTCCCAAAGAGGTAGCAGACTACCGATCACATCCCTGGTAGAATATGGACGTTAGTGACATGCATATCTCTAGTTTTTGAGACTCGTTAGTTAGACAGGAGTCATAGGAGAAAGACATGGACGACTTCGGAGATGTACCCCGTACTCCGTAAATAGAGTATGGAGATGGAAAAGGGAAATGGGACGGGTGGATCGGCACAGGATTCCACTGCTTCTGGCCCGTCAAGTCCAGCACGGGCCTGGCAGTGAAATTGCGAGGATGGGCGGGCTGGACGGGAAGAATGATACGATGGAGTGTTTGAGATGGGGATATTGTAGTCTACTAGATAGAAGGATGAATGTATGTCGACGGATAAGAGGATGAATGACATGAGACCCATATTCCTGCCTGGGGAGCATGACGATCGGTGCCTCATGACGCGCGAAGACCAGTTAATTTTGATGGCCGGTTTTACAGTCGGAGGAGATCGGAAGTAAGCTAACTACACACAGTCTTAAGTTAAGGAGGGCTTTGCTGTGCTGCTCTTTTTGCTATTGTAATTTTCCCGGTGCAGCGGGTTACTAGTGTATTACCGCTATGACCTACCGTTGTGCGGTGACGTTATTCCTGCCGCTGGGGAAAATTTTCTATACCCTACCTTCACAAAGAATCATCCCAGGAGATTTGTAGTTTGGCTGATAGCTGTAGACAGACTGGTAGTGTGATACACAAATAACAGAGAGCATTTGAATAATTCTTGTCTTCTAAATTAGTAGAATACGCAACCTGAAAGAACCCGACTGAGCCGCCGCGTAGATCACGCGAGCGCAACACCACTGAACCAAGTACTGTAACCACCAAAACCGTAAAACTGACTGGCCGGACGCTCGGGATTCCTCGCCTTCTTTTTTCTTTCCATCCGTCGCCCTTTTCATCTTTTCCCTTCATTCCGGCTTATCGGCGCATCAACCCTTCCTCGCCCCTCTCCCTTCTTTCTCACTCTCACTCACACTCACACACCTTCTACCTTCGACGGCGATACCTCCGCACTCCCGCCTGATCCTCAAATACGTCTCGATATCCCTTTGCGTCCTGTTGTCGATTATCCCACATTTTCCCCATGTCGCCGCCTCCGCTGAAATAAAACCCACCCATCATTGAATGACCCGCGATGGCGTTCAACTTCAACTGGTCGCCGTTAATGGCGGACGCGAGCTTCTACACTCGCGCTCAGGAGCTGCTCACTGCCGCCTTGAATAAATCGCCAAAACCGCCGATTATCGTCGACGATATCCATGTCACCGAACTCAATCTCGGTTCTATCCCGCCCGAGCTGGAGATCTTGGAAATCGGAGACCTGGCCGAGGATCGCTTTCGAGGCATCTTTAAGATGTCCTATACGGGCGACGCCTTTCTGACCCTGAAAACCCGCGTCCAAGCAAATCCGCTCAATACCTATCTTCTCACCCGACCGTCCTTTGCGACTCCCTTGCCGGTCGCTGCAGCGTATGTGTTGTTGGATTACCCTAATACGCAGCCAAGCGCATCCTTGCTGACCTGATCGCCTTGAACTGCAGAACTCCGTTGACTATTCCCCTTCAAATCACCCTTTCCGACTTCAAACTTTCCGGCTTCGTTATATTAGTCTTCTCGAAGCAAAAAGGCATCACAGTTGTCTTCCGAAATGACCCCCTTGAGTCACTCAAGGTGTCGTCGACATTCGACTCGATCCCCTTTGTGCGCGACTTTTTACAGCGAGAAATAGAAGGCCAGCTTCGCGTTTTGTTTATGGATGAGTTGCCCGCCATCATTCATCGCCTGTCTCTCCGATTATGGGTTCCAGAATACCGGGCTGGAGAGGAAATGGCTAATCGCGCCACCAACACCGCCGGTGAAGGACCTGGCCAGGATCCTCTGGCGAGTCCTCCGCAGGATCCCGTGGATGCTCAGGGCAATGCTTTGGATGAATCAGAGATCGCTTCGCTTTCGTTGGATTCCTCGGTCGAGACGCACTCCTTGTTTTCACAGAAGAACTTGCTCCGTTTGGCTGCACTTACGGACTCCCAGCGAACGCTATCACTGTTCACTCCGTCTATCCAAGAAGTGGTTTACCGCGCATGGACGTCGCCTTCTGACGCGGGCGAAGTTTCGGGTGGCGTAATGTCTCCCTTGAGCCCTGCACTTTCCCGGACACATTCCCAGGTTGGCGGGATGTCCTCCTTCCAGGATACAGCCAGCATGGTATCCTCACAGACTCGGTCTTCGACGAATACCCACACTTTCAGCAGCTACGGTCTGAGCCTGGGAGCTGGCCGCCATTCGAAATCCAATGCTCGCAGGCGGAAGAAGCGTGTGGTGGACCTGCGTCGTCCCAAGGCTCCAGAGGATGCCGCAAGTGTGAGCGGCGATAGCACCTACACCGAGACCACCAGTGCACCGTCTGTCTGCTCGGCACCTTTGCCGGTGGTCAGCGAACAGACCGATGACCCAGTGACTCCCCCGCTGTCTCCGAACAGTGAACTACACCTTCCCACGGTTCCCGAACGACACCGCTTGAGTATTTCTAGGCAAATGCCCCGCCGCGACATCTCGACTGAGATGTTGCGTGAGACCGGAGAGTCGTCGGCTCAGCCGGTCAACCACTCGGCGGTTGATGTCGACGCTACTCCGCGGGTGGCGGTACACCCCTATATTCCTGCTCAACATGAGAACGAGAAGGGAGAAGCAAGCGCCTCGCGCCAGCTCCCTTCCAAGGCACTCCCATTCTCCGATACCAAGCCGACATCCAGCATCGTTGACCAAGCGCTGGTGGAACGACTGGCCGGAGAAATTGCTCGTCGCATGCGGGAGGAGAAATTGACTCCCGGCAATTCTTGCAGTTCGTTCTGGGATCGTCTCAGCCATGATGATGCCCCTCCGGCGTACGGTCAGTGACTAGTGCAGCCTTGTGGGCGTCTTTGTACACTTTTATCTTCACCTATTCTTTTCTCCACGGCTAGGATGCTCATACCCGTGCAATCCTCCCAGCTTCAGCGAGTCTGGAGCATTTCATGACCGATACGACACTGCATTTAATCTTGACTGTGCTTTACTGTGTTTTAATTGTTTCCAAGCGGGCTTTAGAACTTTGTACATTGATTGGACTGTACTCATAAAAGAATCTGGCGTGTTTTTTTTCCTTTCTGATTTTTGACCTGCGTGAGCGATCTGTTTCTGAGGGATACCACTTCGCTCGCTGACTCTCTTTGACTGTGATTTTCTACTCTACTCTCCTTTGTCCACTCTTTCTCTTTACTGATATTTTTCTGCTTGATTTGGGATTTTTGGAAGCTGGAAGCACGCAACCGATGGAGGAGTCAAAAGAATGACTGGCAAATCTGGGTTTAGTTTTGCCTTGCCGAATTGCCGTAGAGTTTCGAGCAATGCTACTGTATATTTTTCTGATGCAATTGCGATAGCACGTATTCTCGCTTTGAAGCAAAATCACGATCGTAATAAGGAATAGTCATAATCCTCCGAAATCCCCACGATCTAAGCGTTCTCCTTATCTTTTGGGGGTTTGACGCCAGAGCGGTCGGCTCCACCGTGGCTCCGATCGGTTTGCGACGAACGTCAACCATTTAACTCAACCTGACGCCCGTTCGCTTCTCTCTTCTTCCCTTCCTTCCTCCGCCACGTCGCCAGTTTCCCTGCCCGTCCGTTCCCCAGTCCGTCCAATTCCCCATTCCTCATCATGGCGGGCCTGTTCAAGAACGTCTTTGGCGGTTCCCAGCCCTCGAACCCAGCCAAGGTTGACGATGGTGAGTCTCACAACACGCACACCCCAAACCCCAGCTTTTGCCTCGAGCTCTGTACCCCAGGAAAATCAACCCTTCCCCAAACTTCCTTCAATTGCTCTCCCAGCTCTAGTTCAACGCAACAAACAATTCTCTAATTACTTTTTCCAATGCAGACTTCGCCGACTTCGTCGAAGCCCCGGAGCCCTCCCCGGCCTCCCTCGTCGCCGGGTCCTCATCCATCCCAGCCGTGAACACCCAAGGCGTCACCCCAGTCCCCTACACCAAATGGTACCGGGTCTGGGAGCGGACCTCGCCGCGAGACTTCATGCAAGAAGCGACTGTGATGCCCATCATCCTCCTAATTATCCTCTTCCACTTCTGGGGCACGCGCAAGAACCGCCGCAAGGCGCGCGACTGGGCGCAAGCTCACACCTCCGCTCTGCAAAGCGAGTTCGCCGTTGTGGGTTTCGACGGCCCCAGCAACAGCAACAGCGAAGGACAACCCGACCCCGAGTCTCTCCTCAAGGAACGCTCCGCTCAAGAATTCGCCTCCTACGCGACCGGTCGTCAGAACGTGGCGTTCGTGGACGTGGCCATCAAGCTCCCTAAGCGGTACAACCCCGTCACTTTCTGGACGGAGACTGTCCTGGGCTTCTTGTTTGAGAGCTGGTCCCCCCCGACGGAAACCTACGAGGCTACCGCGTACACCTTCGATGGAAAGGAGAAGGATGTTGTCCCCCTCCCGGCCAATGATCGCTCTTCCCTGAAGGTCAACAACTCCACCTACGATGGATTCATCTGGGCTGTTGTGCACAAGAACTACATGCGGAAGTTCCGTCAGGACCGCTACGACGCTAGCATCACTTTCACCAGGGATAACAACAAGCTGCCTAACTGGGTTACGGTCATGACCGAGAGTGCGGAGATCACGGATGCTTTGCTCACGAATGAGCTTGCCCAGGCTATTGAGAAGGCCGGCAATGACTTCAAGTACTTAATTGTTACCGACCAGCCTGTTGATAAGCCCATGAAGTGAGTTTCCCATTCCCCTTCCCCCCAAAAAACAATACCACCTATCCCACAAACGTAACACACGTGCTAATCGACACCCATCTATGCAGAATCGAGGAAACCACCCCCCGCAAGCGCATCGAACTGTCCGTCACTCTCCCCAGCAACGCCGAAGGCTACAGCACCACCCTGCCCCTCTTCACACAGTTCCTCCGTTTCGCCGACCGCCTCGTCGGCTCTGCCCACTTCCGCCCCGAAGTGATGCGCAAGGTGCGCAGCACTCGCGACGAGGAGATCAAGAAGCTGCGTCGTGCGGATGAGGAGGAGAAGGCTGAGGAGCGCCGACTCGCCGCCGAGAAGGTCAAGAAGGAGGACAGGGAACGTCTCCTTCGTGGTATGTCTGCCGACGAGCAGAAGAAGTACCTTGAGCGTGAGCAGCAGAAGGAGCACCGTCGGATGATGAAGAAGAGTACGCGCAGGGGGTGATTTCTTGTTCTTGTTCTGTTCTGTTCTGTTCTCTTCTCTTATTGAACGAACTGTGGAGGGGAATGTGGGACATCGGTTATCCATTCCCCCTGGTGACTTTTGTGGTGTGGTGATGCTGTTCGTTCGTTGTATATCTTCATGTACAATGTATTCGTAATTCTTTTTCTTATTTGGATGATGATATGGGATGATGGGGGCTGGATTTGGTTGGAGCGATGCCGTGGGGTCAGTCGTGTTCTTGACTGACTGCAGTGGTTTAATTGATCTACGAATGTATCTTGATGGCATGAAGGCTTTGTTCGTTCTGAGTAGCTTCTTCGTATGAGCGACCTGTCTATGATAGTTTCAGCCTCGTGGCTATATACCTGTGATTGATTGGGCAAGCAATATGTAGATCGAAATACTGCTGCTAAGCAGCTCAGTGAAAAATTCCCTACCAAGACATCTATCTACCCACGACGGCCGAAGAGTATGAAGCCCGATCTATAAACAACAACACCAGACACCAATGAAATCTCACCGATATATACCCGAAATCAAGCCTCAGCAACCAAAAAGCTCATCAAGCTTCCCGCAGTCAACCCGCCTACGAGCATCAATGCCATGAACCCACCTGCAGGTTCACGTTCATCAGGAGACACCCACTGTCCAGCGCCCATCATGCAATTACTCCCCAAGTACCCGTTACTTATGCCGAACAGCAACTGCACGACGAACAGGTAGAAAAAGTCACTTTCGACCACTGCACCCCGGCCGCGAATATTGCAGAGGAGGTACAGCGGGATGAATGCGGCTCGAGCAATCGAGAAGAGGAACAGCACAAAGGGACGGTTCACTAAGGAGAGACGGGGAAATAGGACGAGCATTCGGCCCAGCAGATCACCTGCGTTCCAGAAGAAGAATGCAAGAGGGATGAAGACAGCCTGGTCGAAGAGTCGTGATCGTCCGGGAGTGTCATGGACGGATTCGATCTCCGCTGTGAAGACGGGGAAGGTCATGGTGACGGTGAAGCAGAGGAAGATGGCTGTAGCCATGAAGCGGAGCTTCTTGAAGAGCGTCCAGAGGCTGACGGACTTGTTCTCGGGCACATCTGAGTCGCTGTGATCGTCCGTTGGGTCTAAGAGGGTTGACGATGAGCGTCGCTTTACGAGAGATAGGAAGGCCAACAGAGCGAAGGACGACACGGCTGTGGCCGTGATAAAGTAGGCAAAAGCGGATTTGGATGACTCTTGTGGTGCTTTCTGTCCTTCTTTCTTGCTTGGTACGGAGATCACGGTGAGGATCTGGACAATGCAGGGTAGGACACCCGCTACGCCTTGGCCGCCCATGATGGCTTGGGTATACTCCTCTCTTCCGAAGCCGGAGACGTAAGCGTACACGCCATTTTGATTTATCCCGGTCGCAAGACTGGCCCCGAATACCATGATCATGAGAAAGCCGAAATATGTGCTCACTGAGACATCTTTCATCAAGATGGTGGAGAAGGCCAAGAGCGTGAATACCACGATGTTGATAAGCAGGGAGATAGTGACCCGCTTCGGATATGATGCTCCCTTCTGCAGCTTGGCCAGGATGAACGAGGAACCTAAGTTAGTAACGGTGGATACAGTCAATATTGAAGGTTGATAATGGGTTGCTGCCCAGTCGTCTGTGTGGAAACGGTGGTAGAAGTATGGTGCAGCAGCGAGGAACATGTTCCTATGACGTTCCGGTCTAGTTAGATAGATGCAGTCAATGTAGTTGTTGTAAGTTGGGACATACCATGCCCATAGCATAGACACTCCCAGGAGGAAGAATACTGCATATTCATATTTGGAGAAACGGGGATGCTCCAACTCCTCACGAGCAGAGTGAATGCTCTCATTGTCGGCGTCAACCGGCTGCTCGATTGCTTCATATGTAGGCCGGCGAGCGATAAGCCCGCGGATACGCTCCATTGTAGCGAGTTATGGGTTGTCCCTGTTCAAACGATGAGACGGGACAGGGAGTAGTACGAGACTCATCCCATGATGGTGGAGAAAAGTGAGGCAGGGAAGATCGACGGGGAGGACAAGAAGATGAGCAGCAGCTGGTCATGAGGCGTGACACTCGCCAAGAATGGTAATTCGCGGGTCACGTTGGGCTGGGTGACTAAGAGGCTTATCAATTCAACGACCATCAACTACTAGTAACTTCAATAGCTCAACAGCTTGAATAGCACGTCGGCCAATTGCACAGAGAGCATAACTCAAAAGTAGAGATGGGTATTATATTTTATCTATCCAGTCACCAAAAGCTGAGCCACCCCGGTGTTGGGGTATCCCGTAGATAGATAGTACATCCAGCTGAAGGCGGCCCAGCTGTCTAGACAATAGTGTACTATGTGCCCCATACAGGAGCTATATACTCTACACTGCTGAAAACAAGATAACGAAGAAAAGAAAGAAAACAACAAATGGGTGTCCAGAAAGGTAGGCGTCTCCACATCTATGAAGTAGCGGACGCTCCTACTTCTTCTGCTGATCGCGTTCGCTGCTGGCATCTTCGATGTCAGCTTCAGCTTCCTCTTTCTCCAACTGCCACAATTTCTCTTCTGTCGCTGGGCTGATAGGGGCGTTTGCCGGCGTGTTCTCGCCACCACTGATTTGCCATTCCATCAGCTTTGTGAAGGCGCCGTCAGGACGAGAGCTAAGCTCCTCGTAAGTTCCCTGTTCGGCCACCTTTCCATCAGGGGCAAGCACGATGATTGTATCAGAGCGCTTGATCGTAGACAGTCTGTGGGCGATGCTGATGGTCGTGTTGTTTCCACGAAGAAGGGCAGCAAGAGCGCTGTTGACCAATGTCTCAGATTCTGCATCAAGAGCAGAGGTTGCCTCATCCAGAATCAAGATATCGGGATCTTTGATGAGAGCACGAGCAATGGCAATGCGCTGCTTTTGCCCACCAGAAAGTTGAGCGCCGCGAGGTCCAACCTGAGTATCAAGTCCATCGGGCTGAAGAAAGTTAGAAAAATGTACAGTCAGAAAGCAAATTGTCCACTTACAAAATCGCTGATGAACTGGCAGTTCGCCTTTCTGGCTGCTGCGATGATCTCTGACCTAGTAGCCCGTGGCTTGCCATAAGAAATGTTCTCAGCAATTGATCCCGAGAACAGGACGGGTTCCTGAGCAACAACACCAATCTTCCTTCGAAGGGACTTGGCGTTCATCTCGCTGATGTCTTGGCCGTTAATCAGGACCCGTCCTTCGGTTGGGTTGTAGAACCTCAGTAGAAGCGAAGCAATAGTTGACTTTCCTCCACCCGAGGGACCGACGATGGCAACGTTCTTTCCTTGCGGGATCTCAAAGTTCAATTCCTTGAATATAGGAACGGCAGGTCGCGTGGGATAGCTGAAGTTCACGTTTTCAAAACGAATAGGACCACGGGCCGATTCAACCTTCTTGCCCTTCGTCGGGGATATCGTTGGCTCACGATCCTGCAATTCGAAGAGACGACTAGCAGCTCCAACCCCCTTCATCAGCTCGGAGTAGAAGCTAGAGAGACCGAACATGCTAGAACCGGCATAAGCAGTATACATCAAAAAGGATGTCAACTCTCCAATAGTGATGCCACCTGACTGAACCATGCCGCCTCCAACATAAAGCAATGCAAGGATTGTCATGTTGCCCATGAAGCCAGTCTGATTGTGCTGTCAGCTAAGTGGTAATAAGTGATAAGCGCACAAATACAGGGGAACATACGGAACTGAAGAAGGTAGCGCTAATCAAAGATTCCCTCTTGCCAAGCTCGAAGATCTTGCGCACTTGGTTATTGTACCGGTTCACTTCGAGGATCTCACCAGCAAAAGACTGGCTAGTCTTGACATTACCAAGACGCTCTTCCGCAATCTTGGTCAAAGTACCGAGGTTTCTCTGGATCTTGCGACTGAGGTTCCTTATCGCCCTACCATAGAAGAAGGCGCCGAGACCAATCGGAGGCAATAACACAAGCAAGACACTGGACAGCTTGAGACTGACATAGGTCATCAGACCAAAGCCTGCCGCACCACTAACCGCTGCTCGTAAGCCGTCCGACAAGTTCTGCGTGATACTTTTACCCACGATAATGGTGTCAGAACCGAGTCGTGAGATCAAGTCGCCCACTCTATTCGCATCGAAGAATTCCGCATCTTGCACAAAAGTATTACGGAAAAGCTTAGAGCGAAGCCTTGAGACAATGCGCTCTCCAACGATACGGAGGATGACAATGCGGCCATAGTTCGCAGCGGCACCCAGTGTAAGGATACCAGCCAAAGCTCCATAGAACATCGGTACACTCAAGCCGAAGAGCAGATTTCCACCGCCCTCTTCGTCAGAGGTCTTTGTAGCTGCATCCATGATTTTGCCGATGGAGAAGGGAACAGACATGGTGATCGATGACGAAATAAGCAGGAAAAAGAAAGCAAACCCGAGCTTTCTAGCTTCGGGTCGGGCAATGAGCAGGAGTCTCCATATTTCTTTGAAGCCGGCTTTCTTGTTACCAGATCCGTCTTTCGACAGCTTAGCAGCAAGGTTTACCTGCGCAGCCTGCGCTCCCTTTTCGGAGAGCTCGAAGCCCTTGTCTATGTCTTCATCTTCCTTGTCCTGAGCCGTGGCGTTGTTCGTTTGAGCAGATTTAGCCGTTGAGTTCACTGGCTTGGATTCCAGTGACCGTTGCGAAGAGGAGAAGAACCGAGATTGCGCTATTAATTGCGACCGTATGATATCGAACCGTGAACCGTTACTTTGACGGGTGGATAGTCCAGACGTTAGCGAGAGGTTGTTGCGTAATGAACCCGAGATGCCCGAGAATTGACGGCTAGGGACACCAAAGATGCCAATTCCAGATTGATGTGGACGAGCTCCAAAGTAAAGCTCATTGAGTATGCTCCCATTTACCTGAGCTCCCCGTCTGGCGGTGACGCCGGGGGCCCAGGAAGCCAGCAACCTGGCTCCGCGCATTTCGGACGATAGAAAGCGGATTCGGATGGCTGCTCAAATGGATGCCAAACGGAGTAATCAGGGTGCCATATCCCACTAGACAGCCCGATGTCTGCTAGATCTCATGACAAATCAAAGATAAATCGCTCTCCGGGAGACCGCTAGACGCTTGGAAGGCAGAACATGTCAGCCGTGAAGCCGCGAGTCCGGCCATCGCCGTTCGGCCTCGCATCGGCGACGGTTCTGCCTATGGACACCGCCTGCCCTGATTCCGCCGCCGTCGAAGCTGGTCGAGAGCTTTCGATGATCCCTCAGACGCTGGGATAGGCTGCGCTCGTGCATTTCTTGGTTTTTAAGCTCTGAAGCTAACTTGGAGTCAAGGTCGCTGACCATATATTAACTGAAATTATATCCGTACAAACGACTCCACCCCAGTTCCAGGCTCTATACATCTACTCGTTTACCCCACCCTCACCCCTCCTTATACCATCGACTACATTCCGCACTCGCCCAACATGGTGCTTGACTACAGCAAATGGGATGCACTGGAGCTGTCTGATGACTCCGACATTGAAGTGCACCCGAATGTCGACAAGCGTTCTTTTATCCGGGCCAAACAAGCCCAAATCCATCAACAACGTGCCCAACGCCGCCATGAGATCGAGACGCTGAAGTACGAGCATATTGTCAACAACGGCCTCCTTTCACGAATCGATAAGCTTCTTACGGCCCTGAAGCAGAATGAAGGCTCCAAGTCCGTCGAGGAAGTAATCTTCCAGAACCTAATGGAGTTTGCAGGCAACCCATCGGACGACCATCCTCCCGCAGCCCCGGCAGGAGTTCATACTCAGGAGAAGGAACAGCCTAAATACTCACAGATGATGAGCGCTCTGGTTGACCAGGTGAAGAAGGAAATGGGCGACGTCAGCTCGGAGAACCTCTATCAGGAATATATCAAGGGTGTTCAGAGGCACAACGATAAGGTGCAGGGCTTACAAAAGGAGCTTCTTCAGAGACTTGCCCAGCTTGAGAAGGAAGAAGGCAGCAAGATTACCAGTGAGGGGTTGCACGAGGGGTTCAACACTTCTCACATTGCCAAGCCTGGCGAAGCCAAGGGCCAAAAGACGGAAACAGTTGAGCTTCTGAACCCTGGAGCTTCTACGGCGGGCTCATCCCAGCAAGCTGCTGCCCCAGCTGCTGACGATGATGACGAAGAGGAGGATCCCGAGAACGTCAAGGCCAGTGAACTTGCCAAACGATTCGCGAAAATTAACCGCAACGATTACCGTTCTTTGCTTCAATTCATCTCTGAGAACCCCCAGATTGTTGCTGAAAAGGAAACGGATGGTCTATTGGTTGAAGCTTTCAACAGCCAAATGGAGGGCAAAGAAGACTACGCCCGCACCTGCGTTCACCAAGGCTTGTTGTTGCAGTACTGCCGCTCCCTGGGTCGGGACGGTATCTCGCTTTTCTTCAAGCGGTGCGTATGCCAACGATCGATTCCCTTGAGTCGCTTGCTAACAGGTATATTCTTAAAGTATCACAAACGCAGACCACCAGGCTGGAACCCTCTTCCGGAACGACGTAAACGAAACTTACCATAAAATCAAGACCCGCGCCGCGGAGCTGGCGAAAGACGGCTCTGCTTCTAACGACCCCGCTGGAGTGGAACAGATCCAGCTGCATGCAGTCGACCCGAACACTAAGATCACCATCAACATACCCTCTGCTGAGGGCGATGACCCTGTTGAGGTTGAGGCGCGCAAGGTGTACGAATCGTTCTCCAGGGATCTACAGAAAGCCTTGGCGTCGGAGTCCTTGGATGAGGTCAACAAGGTCCTCGGTAAGATGAGCGTTGAAGAAGCTGAAGATGTCGTTGAGAAGCTAGGACAGAGTGGCATGCTGAGCCTGGAGGAAGGCATTGTTGATGCGACCACGGAGGAAGGAAGGAAGAAGCTGGAAGAAATTGAGGCAGAGAACAAGAGGGAAAGAGAGGAACAGGAAGTAGGTGAACCGGGAGGCGATATCACCGAGCTGGACTGAGGTATGAAAAATAATAATGCATATGTTTGGGATGGTGGAAATGTTTGTATTCGTCAACAGCGACTGTGTTAATGGTTGATTTGGATGAACTCAGATTGTTAATATAGCATCTAAGCCCCTACCTCCGAGTAGGAGGATTACAATGTGTGAATACATGCTCCAAGTAAGATGTACTTTTAGCGAATACCAAGTCTCTTGATGTTTTGCATAAGCGCCGTTCTTTAAGGTAGTAATGGACGTGGAAGGCAATTAAAATGTTCCAAAGTATGTAATCTACCTACATCAAGGGGAAATAAGCAACATAAGAAGACATGTGTTTAAGAATTGAACAGAAGACACATGTACTGAGTAATAGCCATTATCTCGAGTACTTGACGAACTCCTGTATAAGAAAGTATGATCGGGTCGAGAATCTGAGGCGCACGGAGGTGGTATGAATGGTGACGGTCGTGATAATAAAAGGCGCTGGAATGCAGAGGACAAGGGTAATCTCCAGTGCTTCAACTCTTTCCCACTCTCTGAGATGTATCATTAGACCAAAGTCTTATTCTGTCGAATTCGGCCTTCTTCGCATCCAGAGTCCTTGTAGTTGGAACCCATTATAGTTTCAGCTGCCTAAACGCCGCTGACACCAGGGGCATTCTGATCCTTCTTAAGGTCAAGGAGCAACTCTCGGAAGCGCTCCTTGCCGGAGCCGCTGGCACCACCCTTGGTTCCCTTTCCGGAGACATCGACAAGCTTCGCGATGCGTTCCCAGCTAGTACCTCCCGAAGAAGTGTCCTCCCGGTTGGACAGGAACTGATCTGCCTCAGCGCGAGTCTGGGCACGAAGCTTGTCGGTCTTGTTGTTGTATGAGACATAAAAGTCGTCAATATCCTCGCGCGCCTTCTTTATGGTAGATTCCTTCTTCTCCTCCGAGATCTCCGCACGACGCTGAATGTCCGCATCTCGCCGCTCACGCCATTCCCTGCAAGACATCTACCATCAGCACGTGGACTCCATACAAGTGACATAGCCAAAAAGTTATGAAAGTCATTGGCTGGCTGCTGATATGGGTGACACATACCTGACGGGCTCTGGCTCCTCCTCCGGGGCTTGGGAGGTATAGTTGGAATACCCGGTGGGTGGAAAGGGGGCACCCGACCCAGTGATTGTGCCGCCAGGAGCAACTTGCTGGTAAATTCGCAGTCACGTTAGAGACTCCCCCAAGCATATACCAGACATGTCTCATACCTCGTTTTGTGTGTCGAGAGCAGGGAAGGAAGACTCGAATCCAGCGATCTCCTGAGGCTCAACACCACCCGCGGACGGGGCGGCATCCGCACCTCCCAGCAAGTCGTCGTCATTGTTTATGTCGTCGGCGACATGATCTTGGGGAGTCGCAAATTGTTCTGCATCATCACCGAGCATAGCCCGTTCGCGAGCTAGGAAGTCATTTTCATCTGAGGCACCGTTGGTCTCAACGACTTCGGTCTGGCCTAGAGACCGGGGTTAGTGTTATGTAGTGTTGGCGGGCATGATGCCGGCTGCTCACCTGCAGAGAAGTCCTCCAATGAAGGGAAACGATCCGCCATACTTTTCAATTATCGTAAACTGAGTTAGAGATTGATTCCGCAAAGAAGTTGAACAAAGAGAAAGGGGTCAAATGAGGAGAGATGAGAATGTGAACGTAAGGCTCCAGCTGGCGTCTTGGGGATCGAGCGGACCGTTCCAAGTATGAATGGAGAACCCCCCGGATTCTGCCAGGAAGGCGGTCTGACAGCTACACAGCAATTACCAGGTGCGACGGATGAGCTTCACTGTTCCTCAGGACCATTTCACTCTTTCACGTCAGATATCCAGGGCAGTGGTCATATCAATCTGACTCAAGCCGAAGTGAATCTCTTTTCTATTGCGCATTCTTGGTACATTGTGCCCGTTGTCATTCGTTCCAGCATTCGCGCTTAAGGAATAGCGATCCAAGTCCAACCTCGCGGCGATCAAAACACACTGCATTCACACATCTTTCATTACTCTTTCTACCAGAGATCTTTTCTACTTTGGCCATACTAGAAAGTATCCAGAATGGCCTATACGGATGATGCTGTGAAAGCGAAGCTTTCAGCCCTCAACGAAACCCAGGAAGGCATTGTCACAGTTGCGCAATGGGTTATGTTTCACAGGTAAGATGACAACTGTTCGTATATACAAAGACTCTGCTCATATGTTATTTCAATCTTAGACGACACGCTGAACGAACCGCACAGCTCTGGCTGCAGAAACTCCGCGATTCCCCAGCACCGAAGCGCCTGAACCTGATATATTTGGCCAATGGTATAGCTCATGTTCCGAGTCGGTTGTAGTTCGACACTAACAGCATCTCAGAGGTCGCGCAACAGTCTAGAGCTCGCCGGAAAGAGGACTTCCTCATCGCATTCTCGCCGGTTGGTTCATCAACTTTGGAACCTGGCAGGTATTAGAGGTTAACATTTACCAGATCATCGCAGAGGCCACGGCTATCGCATACAAAGGTTCCTCAAACGATATTCAGCAAAAGATTCGTCGCGTGGTTGAAGTATGGAGACAAAGATCCATCTTTGAACTTCCCATTCAGGAGGCCGTAGAAGCTCGAGTAGATGGTAGGTCGTCTTACTGTTCCATACTTCATTCATCCTGCTTACTCCGTAGTAGAGATCGATAAGTCCCGCTCTACCGGTAAAAAGCCGTTGCTAGGAGGGTCCCTCTTCTCGAGCTCGTCAGGCTCAACACCGTCTGAACTTCAGCCTCTAGTGCCTCTACAGGTAGCCGTTTCAAAGGCTACCGTGGCTTCAACTGCATCTGCCACAGCTGCGAATGCAGAGTATGACAAGATGCACGACCCCAACACGCCTTTGCCTACCCCTCCAGTGCATGCGGCGCGGCTTAGCCAGCTGTTGAAAGCCCTTGCGAATGCAGAAAGCTCTGTATCCGAGGTCATCAAATCACGCACCGCTCTCATCGAGGGTCTCGAGAAGCTCCTCGCAACCAATCGCTCAGCTTTATCCAAGGAACAATCAATGGTCGCACAGTTGACGGAAAGAAAATCGGAGACGGAAGCCACCAAAAGAGAGGTTGAAGATGGGATCATGCGCGGGCTCTCTGCCGAGAATTCGCCTGCGATCAACCATGGCGATGCTGGGCCAGAGGGAGAGCCTATTTCTCGTCCAGAAGTTGAGGCCCTGACTCCTCCACCAGTTGAGGCCATTACGCCTGTTGGCTCTCCCAAGCAGGCCGCACAGGACTCGGACTTCAGCGCAGTACCTCCTCAACCCCAGATACTGGGTGGCTTTACCCTGCCTGGGTTCGGAAATCCGGCCGATTCTTCACTTTCGGCGGCGGGCTTCCCTCCCGCGGGACTCGGCGAGCACCAAACAGACGGTTCGAACGGGCTCCATGCCAAGAGACGCAAGGTTACGCATGAAGAGGAGGATTACGCTCAATTCGCAGGCGGCGACTTGGATGCTGATGTCGCTGAGCTCTTGAAGCAGGAAGGTGATGCCCAGCAATAGCCCTTCTAAATTCACACACTCTGCGGTCGGTGGCAGGCGCAAGTTTGCTTATCTTTCAACCCGACAGACTCCATTTTTACTTTCAACATTATTTATTCTGTCGTCTTATGTGCTGTTTATTGAGAATGTAGTTATCCATTTTCTGTTGCGAGGCACGCCCATTCTTGCCTATTATGATAATATCTGGATATCCACTGTTTATGCGATTAGCAATACGTCCGAGATTCATGCCCGCAGGACAAATTAATCTCTCTTGAAAGGAATCAATACGTCGCTGGAATACATTTGAATTAGTTTCATTACTATTATCATGGAACGCTGAAATGCGAACTATCGAAATATATCCGGATCACCCCATTTGTTCCTCGCAATCCGTAACGAAGAGGGACTCCTCTTGCGGCGGTATATGGTATGGAAGGCACGAGGAGTCATTGCGGGCGGCTGTTCATTAGTTTGTGGGGGAGGTGGCGGCGCCGGTGCCGGAGCGGGATCCGGGGAACTGTGTTTCTTCGGCTTGACTAGTAGAACAATAAACAGGCCTGCGACTATGATCACCAGCAGGAGCATGATCTTGCGCTTCACTGTACGTCGTTGGTAGTTTGTAGCCTGCAAGATGCAGATTGGTTAGTAGGAACTTTTTGCTCGGGTGCCTGCATCAGACGCGAACGTACCACTTTCAGCTCTTTATCCGCGGCCTTGACCTCCGTGCCCATCCGCTCGATATTATAGTCAATCCGATCTAGCATGGTACCCTGATCGATAACCATAGACTGCAGCTCCCGGAAAATATCCGACAGCTCAATGATTCCTTTCGCGATGTCGTTGATTTCGCGCTCCCGCTGTTCAATGGCGGCATCGTTCTGGCCCGTCAGTCGTTGCGACGTCTGCATCAGCGTAGATTGCGAGAACGATTTGTCCGCATCGGACTCCATTAGCGACGGGTCTGTGTATGGGTTCTGCATCGGTGTCGGCGAGCGTTCAAATGGCGCTGATCCACCCTCCAGTCCTCGTAACTCTACCAGACAACCGCGGTTAGCTTAACAGACAGACGTAGCCCAGCCCAGGATAAACTCACTCTTCAAATAGGTACTTTGTTTCTTCCGGAACCGAGCACTAGCCTCTTGTACCCTAGCTGCAAGAGATATCTGCAGGTTCTTGGCCATGGTTTCATCGCCGCTGCTAACTCCACCTTGTTGTTGAGCTTCCCGTACCATCGTCTCGATCTTCTTAACCGCTTTCTGGCATTCATGAAAGGAGCGGGTGATATCCTGTGTGAGCCTCTCTATAACTAACTCATCTTGCTTTCGTACGTCCTCGTCTCCGAATCCGGGTAGAAGGTGTTTCTGGTGTAGCTTATCGAGGTGGGAGGACTTCTGCGCAATGTCCGCAAGTAGCTCCGTCACTTCCTCCTGTACGTCAACCCAGCGCGGGGGTAAAACGTCCATCTCGATAATTGCGTCGCCATCGTCGTCGAGACCGCCGGTTTCTGAAATGAGTCGCCGGCTTTCTTCAGGCTGCGACAGGCTATCGGAGAAGCCATTGGAAGCTCCGAGATAACGTGGCTTCTTGGCTGGATGATGCGCGAACGACTGGCGGTAGGATATGTAGCTGCATCGAGGATGGATGTTAGTTCATTATCTTCGCTATTCTGGAGAATAAATCCTGGGATGCAATTACAGGTTGGTCCGGTCCCGCCACATTGTGAAGGGTAGGAAGAGAGGGTCGTTGGTCTGCGGTGATCCTTCGTCGGAGACACTCTTAGGCCACCCTGATCATTGTCCGGCCAGGGATGCCGTTAGAATGGGTAGCGAGATTCGAGTCACAATAAACTCAGAGCAGAATATCTGGACATATGAAATGGCAATGAGGGGTATAGGCCGTTTTTCCGCGTCGTAGAATCGAGTTTCGTAGGGTGTATTCGATAGGACCGCTGTACTTCTCGGAGCTCCCCATCTCCATGTTGCACATGAAGGGACGGCCGCACCAATCCCAATGCGGTATCACCCGTGCCGATCTAAATATATTACGTCAGCCACGATGCTCTGAGACGATGCCTGAGTAATTATGCGAGATTATGCATCTCAATTGGATTGGTCAAGTTCGGAGGACGATGTCCTAGATGAGGATAAGAGGTCCGTCATGGGCGAGAGATGATTGTGGATTGCTGTCTAAGTTCCGTGGATTACACACTATAGATTATATGCCGCACCGTCATTGCGTGTCACAAGAGAACTATCTTGTGTAGATGCTACTTGGCTACTAGAGCATTATGAGACAAGAGTGACGGCTCCCTATTCCTATCTTTGAAGTAATACTTCGTGATAACCGGTCGTATTGGTCACCCAGCTGATGCAGTTTACACACAGATATAGGGAGATATCAAGAGGCATTACCTAGGGGTCAAGTTCGGATAATAAGATGTTGATAGGAGCACGTAGCAGCCGTGTTGATGCCCTGAATGTGACGAGATATGGAGTGCTAGTAAGGAGTAGACGCATCAACGATCGAATAGCTGCAATAGGGCTATCTCACGTGCAGGTTTGTTCTGGTTTGTTTTGGATGTATCAAGCAGTTTTGGGAGGTCAAATAGGAATATTGAGATCGGAAGTTAATTTGGTTGCAGGCTCTAGCCTGAATATTGCAGATTTTGAGCAATTATGTTGGCAATGGAGGTTATCAGTCCACTTTGCATGGTTACAGAGTATGCCAAGCCCAGATAACTTGCGCAGTTATTCCGTACCTATGCCGCCTATAGAAACAAGCCATGGTTCTGATTGCGAAGGTTCTAAGCAAGGGCATAAAAGTCGCAGGGGATGGAGAAGAGTTATCCTCTGCTTTCTGGTTTGCATGACTGAACCCTCAGGTACAGAAGTGTCCCATATCAAGGTTCCAGGGTATAGTGTCTGAACAAGGTTCGTCCTGGTGAAAGGCAGGCGGGACTTGTTGCCTTCAAGCTTTGGTACTGCCGGGATCCACGGCTGGCCGTCACCAACTGGCCAAAAGGCGCCTACTTACAGATTAGATGCAAGGCTGCGCTCGACTAGCAGCCATTCAAACGACTATGTCTAGGCAACGGGCATTTTCATAAGGCAGATATGACGGGACGCAGCGAGCCTGCAGCAGCTGAAGAAAAAGCAACCAACCAACGCATGGAGGGGGAGCGTGCAAAAGGAGGCGAATTGACAGACGGGCGGGCAGGACAGAACAGCGTTTCCAGGCGCAGAGGGCACATGGTGGCCAGGGCGGGTCACGTTTCAGGCATAAGCGACCGCCTTGCCAGGCGTCCAGCTCAATGGTCATTTATTATTATGATGGATTCGGGTTCCCCTTAAATCATCTTCCACCAACACCACCACCACCTTCTCCTCCCCCCACAGCCCTTTACCGCTACCGTTCAAGCCACCAGCTTTTTTGTTCCCTTTCTACTCAGCTTCATTACCCTCCCGTGACTTATCACATCCCATATCAACCATGGTATGTACCTCCTTCCTCGCTGTCCCGGCCAGTTGCGTTGAAAATCCCCCACTTTGCGGGGCAGATCTGCCTGGCATTCTCGACAGGATTGCTGACATCGCATCGTCTAGGCCGACTCTCTGACCGAAGAGCAAGTTTCTGAGTACAAGGAGGCCTTCTCCCTCTTTGTGAGTGCTCCCTGAATGAACCCCCGATCACTCAAATTGATGTCCTATCTTAACCGGCTCATAATGCTAATGTATTTTCAAACTCAATAGGACAAGGATGGCGATGGTGGGTGGAATTCTGTCCCCTTCACGTTTTACCTGTAGCGCCCGATCCGACCGCGGGATTTCGACAGCTATTTCCCCCTTCGATCTGAATCATAATACTGATGTAATCTGGAAATAGGCCAGATCACCACCAAGGAGCTCGGCACTGTGATGCGCTCCCTCGGCCAGAACCCCTCCGAGTCTGAGCTTCAGGACATGATCAACGAGGTTGACGCTGACAACAACGGAACGATCGACTTCCCCGGTATGTGATAGATCTACGCCTGTAAGGCGGGAATGCCGTATGGATTGTGATTGACTTTTGCCGCCAGAATTCCTTACCATGATGGCTCGTAAGATGAAGGACACCGACTCCGAGGAGGAAATCCGCGAGGCTTTCAAGGTCTTCGACCGCGACAACAATGGTTTCATCTCCGCCGCGGAGTTGCGCCACGTCATGACCTCCATTGGCGAGAAGCTCACTGACGACGAAGTCGATGAGATGATCCGTGAGGCTGACCAGGACGGTGATGGCCGCATCGACTGTATGTTTCCCATTCCTGATATGCCCGTGATATGACATGCTAACTCTGCTACCAGACAACGAGTTCGTCCAGCTCATGATGCAAAAATAAACGGCTCTTCATGTTCTATTTTGTCTTGTGTTAGCGGAAAGGGTGGGGAACAATGAAATCTACTCCACAATGTCCCATCTTTTATCCCATCCCGTCTCTTGTAGTCTCATTATTTGGCTATGACTCTTCTTCATCTTGATGATCGAGCGCTTCGCATTATCACTGTTGGTTCTAATGTTGCAGGAATGGTAGAGGCGACCATAGGTCTAGACTGGTTTGAGCGAGCTGAGATTGAATATGTCAGACAGGGAGGGCTCTGTCTTTGCTGGGAGTTCCTGCGTGATGTGGCCCGCAAGGGTTATTTGTTCCTCTTCATACCCGCTTACCCCTTTCACCATTGTCCATAGTCCCGTGTCATGATTCGTTCCTTTGCCCGTCTGACATCTCGTAGTGGCTCGATTGCATCGGATAATAACCATTTTGATATTCTAAGACCCGTTGTGATGTAGACATGAGATTATGTATTTGTGCTGCTACTTCGTCAAAGTCCCACACACTGCCTCCGGTTCTCAACAAAGAGCACCGAATGTGGAGGCTTTATTTCTGATAACTCAGCTTCTAGCGCTCTTTGACGGCTACCCCTGCACATCGCGTACATTCCTTGTGCCACATGAGCCACATGCCGCTCGGAACTTAATATACGAGATATCTCCCTTCAATCTACGATCTGCCAGCTTGATGACCATATGTCTTCTTAAATAAGCAATCTCCCAATACAATTCAGATTATATTCATATACTAACATCGACGCCTGTTATTTTTACCGATTAAACCTAAAGATCTCCATAAACTGCCTCGCCACATCCACACCCGCATCCGGATCCGGATCCTCATCCGTTTGTTGTAGGTTTGCCTCGTCAGAAACAGTATGTCTGCCCTTCTGTTTCAACCTCCTCAACCGATCCTTAGCTTCCTTCCCCACATCCGGCAATAAGATAGCTTCCCTGGCCCCCTCAATGCCCAGCCTCGCCCAGAATTCCCGGATCAACGCCGCACTAGCCGCATACTCGGCATCAATATCCGCATCTTCAATAGCATCCGGGAACGCCATATCAATCCCGGAGTCGTCATCATCAGCTAATTGCCCGTCGCTCGGATTCCGTGGTGCTGAAATCGAATCGACTATACAGGGACCCCGCCATTCAATTTCAACAACTGTTCCGCGCACCCTCGCTGCTGGTTGAGTCTGTCGCACATCACCCACTCGAACCCGGAAGTCACCCACATCGTAGACCACGCCGCCTGGTACGGTGACCGTGTGTCGATGGCACCAGAAAGGCTGGCAGGCGTAGCCGAAGTGCTGAAAAAGAGCATTACAGGATGGAAGCGGCACGGTGGTCATGACCATTGGTCCTCCTGACGGTGCAGCGGCATTAGATGGGGTGGACGGGGTGGGCGCTGTTGCGCCTGGAGCTCCATTTTGAGGAGAAGTATTGGTGGGTGAGCCAGCTGGTGTGGGATTAACACTGGTTGCCGTGTGGTGATGAGTGCTTTTTTCTAGTGCTTCAGAGGTGTAGATGAAGCCGTGATTGGAGTGGAAAGACAGTGATAGGAATTGCATATAGCGCGGTTGCACTTGACGCTGAGATGCTGAGGCTGGAACACATGATGGCGTATCGCGCATTAGCCTGTGTTCGAGGAACCAACGGCCTACTAATGTTGGCTCGTCTGCTAGGGCTGTGTGTAGGCGCTCTGTGATTGTGGCTAGCCCTGTGGATGCATTTGGATTGGAGGGGATGAAGTAGACTCTGGATGGTTGGAGTTAACATGATATGAGGATAAGTGATAATTAGTGAGCGCTTACCCTGTGATAGGCATTTTGTAGTATTTGGAATTCCCTTGATAGATGTTGTATCTCTATGGATGGTTTTCTCTTGTCCTTGAGTAGGGCGCCTACGAAGTGATTCACGTGCCAAGTTAAGGACACAAGAGGGGTATCTTCTTGAAGGCAAGGAAAAGAGAGAAGTGCAGTAGATATGTGTAAGAGTCAATGACAATAGTATGGGTTCAATTGATAGCGAGTCTGGTAGTAAGCAGGCAGCACAGGTAATTCATTTGAAGCGTGATTCGTTTATGTCTGATTACGCATCAGTATATTAAGCAGTGAATGGGACCATGCTATTGGTGGAGATTTAACTAGACATACCAAGAAGAATGCAATAGCAGTTTATGTTGCTTTGAGTATATCACCCACAGCTCTAGTAGGACTGATTGGACTGTCCGTGGCTTTTTCGGGCATGTGACCCGTCATGACTTGGAGACAGTGTTGACTGCCTTGGGGTCCAGGCCACAAAGGTGCAAACCGGTCAAACACCGCCCCCAAGCAACAACTTCGACCCAACTGGCATTAACTCCCACTCCGACCTCCGACTCTCATTTCCTCCATTGTCTGTGGCTGTTCACTGGCCCACCTCCACTTCGAGTACCAACAGTAATCAATTCCTGGGCCGTCTGGGTCCTCGGGGCTCCACTCTCACATTTTATCCCCGACTCTGTCTCTGATTGAGCCACAGCGACGTCTGAGATCCGTCTAGACTTTGGTCTGGAATATCCAGGGGAACACACTTCCACTTTCTGTTTTCTACACAGTACGCGCGTATGTCTCTCCTTGCCAAGACGCGGGACAAATACTCCGGACAATGAGGCTGAGACCACAAAGGGGTCTTAGTTTTGGAGTAGTCGACGTCAAGTGGTCAAGAATAGAAAATCGCACCCACTCCAGGTGGACTTAACACTCCCTATTCTGCGATCCTTGAGACCGGCCAGGGTCCAAGGGACCACTAGCTTACGCAATGGGCAGATCCTTTTGCCATATTGCTTGTTTACGCTCCGCTCGACTATTACTTACTTTGGTAAGTCTCGTTGCCAATGAACCTTTTCAGCCATTCACCCTCTCCTCTTTGCGATCAACATGCCACCCATGGCTAGGCGCTTGTAAGATGGAGCAGTAAACGCTCGGATGCAACATACCTCCACCGCAGCGCCAATGCTTATTTGCTCGCGACAACTGGGATAGAAAGACCGGACCAGGGGCGATCCTTAACAACAGGGTATATACGGTGCCCATGCCTTGTCTAGTTTGTACCAGCGTGCTGCACTTGCAAAGAACCGTCGCCTTGGTCGGTCCTTTGGTGTTCATCCCCAGAACCATCCCCTCTTTTTAATCTCGTTGGCGTTAGCTCGCTGGGCCGATTACTGGTAAACCTGGCATTGAGCATGCTCACGCATCTCCGATGTTACCTCTCATCTGATTAATATAACCCATTGCTGTGATCTGCACAGCTGTCCTCTCCTTTCTGCTGCCTGCTTCTCGTTGATTTAGCGATTCTTTATCAAGTATTGTCTATAGTTTGCCGTAACCATGGCGCGACGGAGCTACCTCCTACCCACCATCATTCTCCTATGCGTCACATACGCTCTTTTCTCGAGTTTACCGCCCGGTGCGAAGCCACATTACCACCATCATTTCAGAAATCCATACGACCCTCCCCCGCATAAAGAGGGTAGGATCCGTTGGCGGAAGCATGCCGAGCAGTACCCAATCTCCGATTATATCCCTCTACCTTCGACTGCGCCATCCACTATTCCACGAATTCAGTACAAGTTCTCTAAGGAGTCGTGGTTTGCACGATGGGAGCGGGTGAAAAGGCAGCGTGCGGTCAAGAAAGCATTCCAGCACGCGTGGAAAGGGTACAGGAACAATGCCTGGCTGGAAGACGAGCTCTCTCCCCTCACTGGTGGCCACCGCGAGACCTTTGCGGGCTGGGCGGCTACCTTGGTGGATTCCCTAGATACTCTCGTTATTATGGGACTTACTGAGGAGTTTGAGGAGGCCGTGAAAGCGCTTGAGTACATCGACTTCACTACCACCAGCGCCATTCAGATCAATGTCTTCGAGACTAACATTCGGTACTTGGGCGGGCTTCTTGGTGCCTACGACTTGACCCAGGGTAAATATCCGATTCTCCTGAAGAAGGCAGTGGAAATTGCGGACATGATTTATGGATCATTTGACACTCGCAACCGAATGCCGCAATCGAGGTGGGAATGGACCAGGTAAGACACCCAGCAGATGCCTCGGTTGCCAAGCGATTCCTAGGTATCGCTAGGGTACCATTATGACTCAGGCTGGGCCATGTTAACTGGGATCTAGATCTGCGGATGGTCTGAGCATCGAGCCGGGCCGAAACACCATACTTGCTGAACTCGGGTCATTGAACCTAGAATTTACGCGACTCTCTCAGCTAACAAAGGACCCCAAATACTTTGATGCTATCCAAAGGATAACGGATTTTCTCGAGGATACTCAGGAGACAACCGATGTACCTGGGATGTGGCCCATGATGGTCAATGCTAAGGACTTGGAATTCGCTGACCCCCGATTTACCATCGGAGGAATGGCTGACTCGACATATGAGTACCTCCCGAAAGAGCATATGCTTCTAGGAGGGCAGACCAGTCAGTATCGTAGAATGTACAACTCCTTCATGAAGGCGTTGAAGAGCCGCCTGCTTTTCCGCCCGATGACCGAAGACGGCCGAGATATCCTCTTTGCTGGGAACCTCCGCGTTACTGGATCTTCTAGCCGAAATAACCTAGAGCCCCAGTGGGAGCATTTGAAGTGCTATCTCGGAGGTACTGTCGGCATTGGGTCCAAGGTGTTCGACCGACCCGAAGATTTGGCTGTCGCGCGGAAATTGGTCGATGGGTGCATTTGGGCCTATGATATCATGCCGACCGGAATCATGCCAGAGATCTTGCATCTTACAGTGTGTAAGGACGATGACAATTGCCAGCTGCCTCAAAGCTCTCAGCCCACCAGCACCTCAAAGGATGGCAAGAAGTTGCCGCCAGGCGTGGCCGATATTCCTGACCCCAAGTATCTACTGCGGTATGTTCGTTTGATAATATGTCACACTTGTGTTCTCCAGCTAATCCCATATTAGGCCCGAAGCTATAGAGTCGGTTTTCATCATGTACCGTATAACGGGGGACCGGTCTCTGCAGGATGCGGCGTGGAGGATGTTCCAAAATATTGACAAGATGACGCGGACCTCGTTTGGACACGCAGCCATTTCCGATGTACGGGACCCCGAGTCGCCGCAGATGGACTACATGGAGAGTTTCTGGCTGGCAGAGACTCTAAAGTACTTTTACCTCATATTTTCCGAGCCGGACCTCGTGAACCTGGACGAATATGTGCTGTAAGTCCTACCCAACTCGTTTTCCGGATACTTCATGCGGACAATTCACTAAACATTGGGCAGGAATACGGAAGCACACCCTTTCAAGCGTCCAGCTGCTTCAAGTACATAATGCGGTTGAGTTTTCTGTTTGTGATAAACATACATGGCGAACGGGCATCGCCAGTGATTAACCTTTGACACCAAATGGTCTTTATACATATGAAAAACCATCTGATCAGTAAATAGTCTGTGAAGGCGTCATTGGTATTTCCTTTGGAGTTTTTCAGTTATTAGAGCGCTAATCATATAGAGGCGCTATACTATACATATACAATATATACATTTGCAAACAAACGATCAGTTCATCACCGATAGGATAGTAGTAGCCCAGCACTACCTCCAATCAGCACCAGACATGCACAAATCAGAATGCCTATCATACTCAATCGTATACTCCACATCCTTCCGAATCATCATCTTCGCACTCCCACCATCACTTCCAACACTGCGCTGCCCATCCATCTCACCAAGTTCAATGTCAGTTTCAGCCACAGGACCTGCCTGATGCCCACCATCCAACCTCCTCGATACCCTCCACGATCTCCTCTCCTCATGATTCATATAAATCTGTCTTCCAGACCCCGCTTTAGACGAATCGCCCTTCCACGACCGCGACACTCCACTCGTACTCTCGAGATTCGAATCACCCGCCGTCCCGTAATTAGTGCTCACTGCCGCCATGAACGGCCGTAGACAGAAGATACTGCATGCCACGAGAGCGTAGTTGAGCTCAACCTGGGCCCAGATGATGGGTGTGACGACGGCTAGTGTGGGATCGGGGGAGTGGACGAGGAGTAGGATGGTGTAGATGTGGAAGACGGAGAAGATTATTAAGCTTGGTTTTGGGGTCACAGATGTCAGTATTGATCTGTCATGCCACTTGCTTTTTGCGCTGGGACTAAAGGAAAGGTAGTAGCTAGGAAGGAAGGATAGTTACTCACGGAAGCCGAAACATAAACGCAAATCCGATAGTCAGCTTGCGCTTGAGAGGCATGAATAGTCCCCAGAGTAGGAACACGGCTAGTCCGAAGATTATCAGTTCAGTCGCTATGTCTAATGCGACAATGAATTGCCAGCGTTTGGACTTGAGAGCAGATTGTTAGTCATATCCCTCAGTTGATTGTCTACTATGTATAAGTTGTCTGCAGGAGATGCTAGGAGGAGTGTACCAGATTCACACATTGTCCTCCGGAACCTTTCCAGGGACGATTCAATTCGCAGTTCACCGCGATGATGAAAACGGCCGGTATGACCCATGCTGTGCATAGAGCGAGAGTAGCTATAGAAGCTCGGTTATGCCATTTCTGGGGCGTGAGACGAAGGTAGATGCCGCAGACGCAGCATTTGGAGATGTAGACGGTGATGAGGTAGAGGATGTCGCTGACTGTGATGAGCTAATCATTATTAGGAATTGATTAGTATGTCTTGTACGAAGATGATGAGATAGCAGACGCACTGTTTGAATTTTATCCACCTGTTTTTGTTCCAGAAGGTAGATTGATGTCCCGAAACCATGTGATACGGCATTGAAGAGGAGTGCTGCCTGCACTGTTGCTACTATCTATATTTCGACAATCCTCGTTAACACAGGTATTCAAAATCCAGATCAATTGACTTACCGTCGCTCCAAGGAGAAGATAATCATCAAATGCAAACGGCGGATGGAGAGCAAGTCGCACATACAATCTGATAAAGAAGCTGACGAGAGATACGACCAAACCCAAAGCTCCAGTGATGATAATCCAAGCTCCATGATGCAAATCATCTACCACTTGAAAAGGGGGAGATTGTCCCGGCGGGACATACGGGCCGCTCATGCTATGGCTGAGACAGGATGGGTTGATTGCCTCTCGGATCCTGGGAACAGATAAACGAAAGCAAAGACCATCATCTACAAAAAGCTTCGACCAGGATGGTGGAGATATGCTCTTATACAAGGCGGTATTGTTGCCTTTTTGCTTTTCCAGGATGCGCACTCATCGTGGCTGGTTGGCTGATTTTTTCTGTGACTGAGTTAGAACCCACGCATGCGATGCAAGATACATGATGCATGTCTAGCGATATGCCTTTCTCTGGGCACACGGGCCACATGCCAGGATGATGATGTCGGGGGGAAAGTAAATTCTCCATGATTAGCCAGACAAGAGGCGTAATCTGGGAGAGATCAGCAGGTCCGTTGCCTCGTCCTGGATTGTCAGAGGATGGGTAATGTGCGTGAATATTTCTACAGCTAATCATCGAGGGGCTAACTTGCTGTTTGAGGTAAACCATTGATTGGGAGCTCTGTGAAGACCAAAACCTCTGTGCCGATCTAGACCGCCAGATCAAGCGCTGTCAAGGGGCTGCATATCAGCCCACGTTCAAGATGACGATCTGTCAGGTGGTACAAATGGGGTTCTGACGCAGCGTGTGGCTATGCCAGAGCAAAAAGCATATTGTCCTGCAATGGTATGTCTCCAAGAAGGCTCGTGTGTATTTAGCATGCAGATTGGTTCCAGCTCTTTGGACTACAAGAGTACCGCCGTGAAAAATACCCCGAGATTGTGTGGTGATCAATCGAATTGTCCTTGGCCGGTGTCTCAATTGCTCGCCCTCGTTCTAACCTTGCTTGATCCCGATGGGTCTAACGCTGCGCTCAACAACTTTACAGAGGCATTACTATTTACGGTAGGTGACAAAGCAATTTCTAATGCAGCGGTGATGAGGATCAATATCAAGATCGACATTTATATTGTTCGCTTAAAGCCACAGGCCCGTGCAACTCATGGTGATGGGCACATGCTCGTAAATCAAACGTGGGAGGTTGCCTTTTCTCCCCGCGGAGACTGGCTGCCTTCCCGTCTGTCCTACCCCTTACTTGGGAACAAAACTGGGAATCCTCATCCCGACAGCCTGGACATAGGTAAAGCCACCATAAATATCTCGAGGTAGAAGGTCTAGAGTCCTTTCAGTATTGTTTGACAGGTCTCAGACTTGAGTCAAGGCATCAATGTCTTGGATATATCCGTCATTGTGCCCAACTGCGAGCTCGTATAGGGATCCTGAGAATCACACAAGAAAAAGCAAGCATACTTGATCTGCGCTACGAAGCCACCAATACGCACATACAATTCCAGGATATGTTTCAGAATTGCCTTTATCTAGCATGTCGTGTCCGGCTGAAGATTGTGACCCAGCGCCACAAGAATGCGTTGAAACGGATTAATTGATACTCATCTGCCTACCGTCCCAAGGAGGATAACGGCCATTGTCTGTGCCTGTAATCTCGCCGTGTCTGTTCCGACTGAGATCATACACCCTTGGCCATTAGCCTTCATCATGGCCCTCGACAATGGCAACATTGAAGGGCGAATATATGTGGAAGGTTGTTCTCAGAATGTTGAGAAAGCACCAAAGGGCCTTGTGGCCCCTAAGTACATGGGTACTGTAAGAGACCAGCGCGATATGAGTGCTCTGGGCCGTGTCCAGGTCTTAAGGGTAGGACGCCAATTTTCATGCTATAGCTACCTTATGCTAATGCAAGATAGCGAAATTTTAGATTCATCTCAATACTTGGATTCGGCTGTACATTGATCTCCACATGGGAGGTCATCTTAACGTGAGTACTACTACAGAAACTATAGTTCATTGGTTAATCTATGAGCAGGCTATTGACCAGTGGTCTGACAGATGGAGGGACTGCTGGGTTGATATGGGGCTTCATCATCGTCACAGCCGGCTTCGCACTTGTCTTTGCCAGCATAGCTGAGATGGCATCTATGTACGTCTTAAGCCCCTTGAGTATTTATGCTCTCAAGGAGAGACAAAGTATTCTAATAAGTGATTAAAGGTCACCAACCTCAGGTGGCCAATATCATTGGGTATCAGAATTCGCTCCTCGCAGAGGGCAGAAGTTTTTGAGCTATATAACGGGTATGTCGAGCATATGCTCTCTTCCGGCTCAAGACTGACAAAGACACCAGGATGGCTGTGTGCAACAGGTTGGCAATGTGCCATTGTAGCCATTGCATATTTGGCAGGTACAATAATTCAAGGGCTGATAGTGCTAAATCATCCGGATTATGAATTTGAGCGGTGGCATGGTACTCTGCTTGTTATAGCTATCACGGCATTTTCGATCTTATTCAACACATTCCTAGCCAAGAATCTCCCTATGGTTGAGGGATTGATACTCATCATTCATGTTGTGGGTCTATTTGCTATCATTATCCCGCTTTGGGTACTTGCTCCTCGAAATAGCGCAAAGGCTGTCTTCACCGAATTCTACGATGGAGGCGGATGGGGAAGTCCTGGCACCGCTACTCTTGTCGGCTTGTCTACCACTATCACTTCCATGATTGGATACGATTGCTCTGTTCATATGTGTATGTGCCTCTTCACCATCGAAAGCCTGGTTCTAATACAAAGGTAGCGGAAGAAATTAAGGATGCATCAGAAACACTCCCGAAGGCTATGATGTCTGCAGTGGGTGTTAATGGCATTCTTGGATTCATCATGATTGTTACCCTATGCTTTACTCTGGGAGATGTCAACAACATCTTGCAAAGTCCAACTGGGTTTCCATTCATCCAGATATTCTACAACACTACCCGCAGCTACGCGGCAGCAAACACTATGGCAGCTATACTAGTGATCACGCTGACCGCCAGCACGATCACCGAAGTAGCCACAGCATCCCGCCAACTGTGGTCATTTGCGCGAGACCAAGGACTCCCATTCTCGTCTTTCTTTGCATATGTAAGTACTATTATACCATAGCTACTACCATTTCTAGTGACTCACGTATCAATGCACAGGTCACTCCCGGCTGGAATATACCTCTAAACTCTGTCCTCGTCTCACTAGTCGTTACTGCGCTTTTAAGTCTCATCAACATCGGGTCCAACCTAGCTCTGAACGCTGTCATCTCATTAACAATAACATCGCTCATGTCAGCCTACATCCTGTCCATCGGGTGTGTTCTGCTGAAGCGACTGCGCGGGGAAAAGCTCCCACCGCGGCGATGGTCGCTCGGCCGGTTCGGAATGGGCATCAACATTGCTAGTCTCGCATTTCTTTTTCCGATATTTGTATTTTCGTTCTTTCCACTGACAAAAACCGTGGATGCGCATAGTATGAACTGGAGTGTCGTTATGTACTTGGCAATGATTGGGTTTGCATCGGTGTATTATTACTTCTGGGGGAGATACCAGTTCATTGCACCGGTGGCCTTGGTGAAGAGGGACATTGATCTGGATGATATGTGAAGGCTGAGTGCAGTGTATAGCAGTACGCTTGTTTTTGTATATGATACAGTCTAGTTACTACCGTATGTACATACATCCAACGTAAGAACCTTATATCGAGCGTGCTACCCCTTATCTAAAGGAACACGAGTACAAAATGAGCTCGTTCCATACGCAAGAAAAAGTCGCAGCCATCTAATGAACATCACTTCCCACCATACACCCACACAACAAACAACACACTAAAACCAACTATTACTAGACATCAAAAACGGACCAGAAGGCGGCCCAGTCCAGGGTAAACCCCGGCAATTGGGTATCCATCTCACCCGCAGAAATGCTACTTGCGTGACCAATGCACACACAAAAACTAGTAACTACTACCTCCGCGCAAGAAAAGACTTACACACACAATAATAGATCAACCGGAGCTATCTAGTCCACGGGACAACATGCCAATACTTACATCATCAGACAGGGATATATTTACCGCTTTCTCAGCCTTGAAACGCGGCCGGTCATTCTCTGTCGGGCACATCGGGACGGAATGAATACCTGATCGGTCATCGTCCCTGCCGTGTGTCAGAGTGTGAGAGAGTGTGTAACCGTGCGCGCGCGGCGTCCTAATCTCTTCAGAAATGGGACGGGTTAGATAGAGGCTTACGGAAGGTCCAGGAGCGGCATTTGCACCTGATAATTGTAGTAAGAGCTGTAGTAGACCAATAAAAAGAACTCATACATGAAAATTAGGGCATAGACAGCGAGAACAACACAAAAAGTACGGAGACACAACGTACTTTCTCACCACGTAGAGACCGTCGCATCAAAGGAACCCACCCACACACCCGATTTAGTCACTAGTCAATAAATAACTAGCTAGCTAACTATCTAGTTAGTAGATAGCGTCTTCCGTCCAGCCCCAGAGCCTTGGGTTCTAGCTCGATCAGATAAGCCCCCATCCCCGCTGGGTATGTGTGCCGAAGGGGGTTGGTTGGTTGGTTGGTTGGGTGATCCTGATTGCGTAACGCGAACCCAGGCAGGCCCAGACCAAGTGTGTCTCTCTGTCTGTGTGTGAACCCGGCTGACTTTTCCGACCAGAGGGGAGAAGCGCAATATTCAGCTTTCATCTGCTGCTACATCGGACACTCCGACGATAGCATATTCTGTGTGTGTGTGCCACTCACCCCCTTACAGGAGAAACATGAGCCAGAGGCAATGATTGATTGAATGAGTAAATGCACGGGACCACTCGAAACTCCGTAATTCCGGAGTCCGCTGCATCATATTGTGTAATCTGATCATACAGCTAGCCTCTTCTTCCTCCCCCTGATCTTCATTCTTCCCCAGCCCGCTATGGAGAACGACGGGTCATGTCAAGTTCCAGAACGTTTTGGTGTGGTGCTAGTTGTGTTCTGGAAAGTGAGGAGGAGCTATTGGATTTAGCGCTACTGATGATGGTGTTATTATTGGGAATTATGAGCAGCTTTCGCTGGGAAAAGGGCAATGTACTCCGGCGGAAAGGAGGTTACCCTTCATTTTTAAATATTACTCAAGGAGGTAAAATTCATATCTGATTGATTGATTTGATTGAT